TTTATTATGGAACATAAGATACATGTATCGCTTATTCCACGTCATCAAATTTGAATTTGTAGGCATCCCTACTCATCGGCAAAGAAGACAAAGGGTGTAGGCCGAGAGAAACAGCCGGCGTAAATAACTCTCGGTACTCTTTTAAAATAGCAAATCATCAAACAACACTTATTTTAAAACAAATATCGCAAATTAATTAGAAGTAGCCTGTCTAGCACTAGTCCCAGGCCCTTTTATCAACTAGATAATCGTTAACTTTACAGTAAGCCTTTTTACACAGCTTTTCTTTGATACATTTCTTAAATTTATTAAAAGGCAGAGATAAAAAAAATATTCGTAAGGGTAAGAGAGAGATGAATGTGACAGGGTTAAAAGTGGCATTATTTAAAGCGACAAAAGACTTAATAGACCAGTCAGTCAAGACAATTAATTCATAATAATTCCAAAAGTTTTCAAATTTTGATGTAAGGTCGGGAGTGGTATTAAAACAAACTATAAAATTTTGCAACCTGCTCTGCGGTCCGGAACATTGTTAAAAATGCAATAAATGATAATTTGCTTAGTTCTTGAGACCAAAATTCCAAAAGTTCTGCAAAGTTGGAGTGGTGTTAAATATATTATTTTACATCACGTGTCAAATTTGCAACCAATTTAAGTGTACGGAACATTATTTAATTAATGTTGTTCTTTATTAAACTGAAGGAAAACGTTCCAAAAGTTCTGCAAATTTGACAGATATATCGAAAATAAAATAAATAACAAAAAATGTTCCGTACACTTAGGTTGGTTGCAAATTTTATACGTGATATGAAATATTATATCGAAAACTTCCCCAAGTTTGCAGAACTTTTGGAATTTTTTTCACGACCATACAGACATAAAATTAATTTAATTGCAATTTTAACAATGTTCCGGACTGCGGACAAGGTTGCAAAATGAGATTTATTGTCGTCCCAATGTACCATTCACTTGACCGAAGTTTGAAAACTTTTGGAATTATTATCAAATTTTCGATTTCGAATGTCTATAATGACTGGCCTATAAGGTTGGTTTACGCCGAGGCAACAACGTGCGACATTGCCGCATGCTATACATTGCGGCATGCGGCACCTTGTGGCATGCAACAAATATAAGTAAAGTATGGAGAGTTATTGGTCTATCTACTTGTTTGATCGAGGGGATACACCATAGAATATGGCTGATCAAGTAACTTTAGTAGCAGCTTATTTAGTACTACTAAGCCGTACAGCTAAACAACGGGAGATGAGACGTTGGTGGAAAAGAAAATTACTTCGGAATGGCCCACTGACTAGCTTACTAACAAAAATGAAGCAAGACGATGGTGCTTTATTTAAAAACTTTACCAAAATTACAACTGAGGATTTTGAGCACTTTTTTTATTTTTTATTTTTACGTCTAAATATTTTTCGTTACACCACTTCATGACCGATAACTCTCATTTTCCAAAACAAATACAACCTACAAACTGTTTTGACGCACGAAAAATATCGCATGAAATCCATTGTGCTCGGATACAAGCTGCGACAGTCTGCCACATGACGCAAGGTGTTGCCATGTCGCACGGTTCCTGCCACAATGTGCGACTTTTTTAACTTTGTAGCATGCGGCATTGTGGCATGCCATTAAATGCATGTGCGACTCTCAACTCTGAGATAGTGCGGCTGGCTGCACAACAAGGATTTGAACGGTAATGGATTACTGTTTCTTTATGTAAACAGCATGAGAGGCATGCTTACGGAAAAGTTAGGGTAAATTTGTGAGCCAAAACTGCTAAATTTAACTGTCGTATGTCAAATACAATAAGTTTACCAAACAGTGGATGACACGAAAAGATCGATCACATAATTTATTTTTTTATCACTTTAATATCATATTTTGTTCATAAATATATTAGGTACATATAAATCTGCAATTCGTTACAAAAGTGTACGTTTTAATATAAATATTTCCAGACAGAATTGTAAATATCCGCTAAATTACAGACCCTGTTTTTATTAAAACATACCGTTTTATTGCGTGTCGGAACAATTTGTTCATTGGCTCTCTTTTCATTTTTGCACGAAATTTTTACACTTGTTTGTAATGATCACAATTGTTTTCGTAATGAAACACAGTGTTGCCACAGCTTTCACGGGTTACATCGAAAAATAAATTTGTATACTTTATAAAAATAAATATAATTAACTGTAGTAACATTTTAAGCTGAATATTTGAATTGAGCATCTATATATATAGATATATTGACAAGTTAACAGAATATAGAAAATTACCTTAAAAGAAATAATGTCAAAGCTCAAGAAAGATACCCCCTAATATATAGAAGATAAATCTGTCTTATTAAATATAATTACTCATCTATCACTTTTCATGACAGCGTAAACACAGATATATACACGGAAATAGACGAATGTGTACTGTAGTGAAAGTGTGGAATTTATTTTTTAAATTATGGGGCTTCAATTTCCAGATGTATGATGATACAATTACAACCTGGTTGATAAAGGTTAGTTATACCTATTTATACGTACAGAAAACGATCCGATTACTGGTGAAGCAATAGCTTTGTTAACGAGTTCTAAGGCTCAAAAAACACAAACCACAGCTGAAGAAATGTATCTGTCCAAATAATAGGTTATTGGAGAAAAGTACAGATTTTAGTTTTCTATTTCTATAAAATAAATATCTTCATAAGTCTTTGTTTTACGCGAGGACTACGTTAAAAAAGAAATTAAAAGTTATATTTGAATATTTTCTCAGTAACATTAAGTTACATTACGTTATATTAAGTTACCTGCCTCTTTGACCTAAGCCAACCAATTTTTCTTTTATACCTACCTCGTTTCAACTAGATTTATGAGGGTTGTCCAGAGCACGTTTATCAAGACTTAAGGATAAGCTAACAAAATATTGACCTACAAGATTGCCAGAGATGTATTACAAAGATTTTGGGCCTCCAAGTTTTAAGTGAAAAGACTAAAATTGATAAGTGAATATTTACAACGTTTTACCTGGAATACTACGTGGGTATGATCATCCAGTTTTAAGCATTAATAATTAATAATAATAATAATAGTCTTTATTTCTTCTCTCACATATACATACAAGGTTATTATGATTAAACTAAGATAATAACATTAGGAAGTGTATGTGAGAGACTGGTCTCTGTAACAGGAGACCTGAGTGACAGATAGCCAGCCTCTCCACCACCGGACCGGAACACGTACAATCAGGTCATTGTCATAAGATACAATAGAAGAAAATAAGTATTAAGTGCTAAAAGAAAACATTGCAAACGGAGTCGTAAAAATAAATTTGGTGTGAGTTTGTGTGTGTGTGTATGTGTGAGTGTGCATGTGTGTGTGTGTCTCTCTCTAAGTGTGTGCGCGTGAGTGGGGCATAATTCCAGTGCTACAACCGTATATGAATTCTGCCAATATAATATTCAATGAAATAAAAAAACTTATACGGTAGTTATACGTTCACTCTCGACTCTTTATACCCTTAATTCATATGATTGATAATTTTAATATAGTGTAACGGTAGCTTTCTGTGATAAAAGGTTTTAATCGAGAGAGCTTGACTGTGTACTTATAAAGAAAGCTATCTATTGCTGCACAATAGGGCTTCTAAAGAACAACCATAAGTTTAAAAGGGGGGTGTTTTTAGGCACTGTAGTAGATGAATTATTAATTTATTATGATTTTAATACTTTTGTCAAAATTAATTTAGGTCTTCGTATTGTACTATACACGATTTTAGTAGATATGAAATAGACTGGCGTGGTTATAGTTACTGTATTTCCATCTATATACAGAGGTATAGTAACACTTCTATAGGAAAGTACCATGGATAGTTAGTTGCCTTTAGAAATGTATTGTCTATTGAAATTTATATGGTCTAACATTTTCAAATATTACTTTAAAATAACGTCTGTTACCTTAACAATACAAAGCCACATGTGCAGTTAAAATACACGTGAAACCATTGATAACGCATTTCATTGTTTCATTCACATGTTTCAATTCTTATATATTATAGGCAAGTCACCATGCTTCTTTGTCAACCAAACGTAAACAGTTATTAATTCAGAAACCAGGTTGACTCCCAGTATTTAATATAAAAGTTTTAAAAACCATAGTCCGACACTGTTAGGCAACATTGATAAATTGAGGTATCATTACATAGGTTTATCTTCAGACCCAGACTAAATAATTTCGGAGGATTCACATTTTAAATACGGGGCATAATTAGAAAGTTATCTAGTTCGCTGTTTATATCTAAGCCATGACATCGCTTCACATTAGTGTTAGATACACTCGTATGTGTACATTGGAATTACTTTGGAGCTTATGTCACTGTCATCAAAAAATTACAAAAAATGTCCCGGTATAAAATGTCAATATCAGTTTGTGGAGGAATTAAGTTGCTGCTCTCTACATCGGCCAGTTCGGGCAAAGCCCTGCTGGTGGTGGAGTAATTCGCGTCCTGTTGATTCAGGGCGGCACTAAGGCGGGCAAATAGCCCGTGTGGTGGAGGTGAGGATGCATAGAGCTCGACTCGCCTTGGTACTCTTGTTCTGGCGGAAGTAAATCCTTAGGGGCCGGAATAACTTTGTTACACGGTGACGTCATCGCAGTGAAGTAGGCGTCGGCGCAAGTTTGATGTAAATTGTCATCGAATGCTTAGTCGGGAACTTCACTCCTGTCAACACTTTCTACCCTATCTGTCATCAACTCCTGATTTGTCCTAGATGTGTCACAAATACAAACGAAAAATGATCAAGTTTACGATCTGGCCACGACATATACACAATATAATACTAGAAATGTATAAAAGTGTAATTTAATTACTATAAGTCTCTATATAAAACCTTGTTAAACAATGAAATGAAATACAATAAAATTTATCCTTTGGGTGTTTATTTTTTAAAAGTAAAAAATAATTGGTATGTATCATCTATAGTATCCGTTTGCCCATATTCATATATTTGATTCGAATTCATCTAACTCTAAATTGGTTGTCTCTGAAAAAATAGAATTATATTATTATACAAACTTGTAGAGCAGCGCTGGCCTAGGGACCTAAGAGTGAGACTTTTGAATCACGGTATTTTCCTTTCTAGGTGCACAAATCTCTTGCACCTATGGCACACATCGTTGGTCTTAAACAATCTTTTTTCTTATAAAACATTTTTTTTATGTTAAGTGATAACGCCGCCCATTGTCACTCTCAATGCCAATGAGCTCGCGAGTGCGTTGCCGGTCTTTTAAGAATTGGTGCGCTCTTTTCTACTTAGGGTTCTGAAGGACCCTTAGTCAAATTGGTTCGGAAATACATCAGTGGGTTTCACATAGTAGTGGTGCCCGGCAAAAACTGCCTCGAAAATCGCTCAATTGTGGAAGGACCGCCGAGGTGATACGGGTAAAATTTCGTATTCTGCCTCGACGTCCGATGATGAATCTACGACATATGTCAGGCACATAAAATTGCCTAATTTTCTATAAAAATAACAAATAATCAAAGAAACGGACGTAATCTGCGGTCAAGATCCATATACCCTGTATGCGCCATTGGATTATTATTATTACTATAACTAAAAATAACACTTTTTACACAACAAACAAGCGCGTCTTCTAAAGGATTTGTTTTCTAATCGTTCAGGCTTTGGACTCAGCTAGAGCATTTAAACATAAAACTAGTTTACCATTAGTGTATCCATATTTAATTTTCGGACCGTCATCCCAAAACTGTCGGTCACTTTCGCCGAAGGCGGTGTAAAAGATTCCAGACACCATGACAAGAGCAGCCAGAATAAAGTACATTATTCTCCAACATGTTTGATCCGTCTGAAACACAAAGGGAAGTTAATTCCGTCGCGTTACAAACAGGAGATAAGGTGCCATTAGGTAAATTAATTCTGAACTAAGCTGGCACAATTAAGTTTTCCTTGTAAGTTCCATCCAAACGAACAATTGGAAATATATTTAACTCACGATGTTGTGCAATAGTTCTAATGAGAACATGGAAAAGATAATAAAATTTTAATTGTGAATAATCGTAATTACTACATAGGAATGTGTAGTGGTTAAGTGTACGGTTCATAACAGAGAGGTCGCCTCTAAATATTTGCTGAGTACCAATTTATACTTATATGTGCTTATTAAACACAGCTCACGGCGAAGGTATAAACATCGTTAGCAAAGAATGTCTAAGACCCAATCGAGGATGTAAGTAAGGCACAAAGGGTTATTTTTTAAATATGTGTAATGTGTATGTATATTATTAGGCCGAGACCATTTTAATACGAAAGCTGAGGTTATAGTGCGACTTGTATTTTTTAATAATCACATACAGTTGTTACAAAATATCATAACATCTGTACCACTCCGAACAAATAACAAATAAAACTTCACCTTCGACTCTTATAATATTTAGGAAGATAAAATTAAAAAGTTCATAAACTCACGCACTTCGAAATAAATTTTAACTTCATCGTAAGCATTTTAATTAGCGAATGAAGAGCTTTTTTAACTCAAAGCCCCGGAATTTCAACCTTGCCCAAGTTTTGTGGTACATTATTATTAATAAAAGTTAAGGCTTTTACGTGTAATGAAATAACAGAGTAATTTCAAAGTGCTTCGGAAACAAAAGCTTTCACATTTTATAGTTCAAAAGGTGTTATAGAAATACTGACACTTAAAGTAAATAAAACCCCTTTAACAAATATAATTAAGAATTTGTTATACTTTGGAGTGTTTTTATATTAATGTTTTCCATTAGAATTTATTAAAAACCAAAGCAAAGAAACTTTAGAAATTTAAAAACGTTCTATAATTTGCCACTGACCAACCAGCTACACTAATTTAAATTCCAAGGCAGTAGAGAGGAAAATTAGCAGCGAACATCCTCCTACATCGCCCAAAGGCACAATACGAAACTGTAAACATTCCGGTCTCGATGCTCCTACAAATAGCTTAGCGTCAGATAAGTGCTTCTTCAAAGTCTTTGAAAAATATTATCAAGTCGTTTATATTTTTTGATTTAAGAACAGCCCTCCGATAATAAACAATAAACTACAAGCTCCCACCTTTTCAGAATGCCAAATCATAAAAAGACTGCTTCACGACTGATTTCAGAGCGACCGCCGATGCGAAAACCGCTGTGTGAGTTCGAAAAGTGAGTTACAGAATCGCAGGGCTGGTCTTATCCCTTAAAAATTTACCTCTTCCTGTATTGAGAGAATTTGAAATGATGCGAAACATTTCTGTAAGCACATACATTTTAAGTACATTACATAATATAAGGATTTGTGAACAAAGAAGAAAGAAATAAGAAGTTAATTAAGTAATGTATTTAATCTCATATAGTACCTAATATTCGAATTATGAACGTCAACGATTCTATATTTAAGATATAGACTATCCCAATGAAAAAGAAACGTTACGCAGACCTTTTAAAATACTGATTTAAATCTTGGCACGAAAACATAGGTTCTAAATTTAAATACTTACTACATCGACAACAATCATTCCAGTCATCAATGGCACCAAGGCACCAACAACGCCTGCGACAGCGCTCGTCATAACTAGTAATGTTCCCGAAAAGTTCTGGCTCATATCTTTATGGTTTTCCTAAAAAAATACAATGTACATGAAACCTCTATTCATATATTAAGTCATAATTTAAATAAAATTAAAATTATGTTGGCTTAGTAGTTTTAGCGCGAGACTCTAATGCCTGAGAATACATTCGAACCCCGGCTGTACAGTGCTTTTACAGTGAAAGCAAACATCGTGAGGAATCCGGCATGCCTTAGACCCAAAAAGTTGAAAGTGACGGCGTGACTAGCCGATTAGAAAAACCAAATGTCACGAAACAGATACAGAAACCTGAGGTCCCAACCTAAAAGGTTGTAGCGCCACCAGTTTTATTTTTGGAGTTGCTAATCATTATTTTAACTTACAAGAAATCCAGAATACTGTAGACTAAGTGAGCTCAAGGTTATCATCATAAGAAATACAGTCCATTGGTTTCCAGGAATGGAATTTGGTATTAGTATTAGGCCAGTAACCAAACCTATCATACCTGGAAAATTCAAAGGTTTTACAAAAAAAAATATAGTTATGAAGAAACTAATTTCTTCATAAATAATTATTTTAAATATAGTTTTATTATATTTTGCTAATAAATTATTCGTTAGATTTACTAACTACCTTGGAAGACTGTAATTTTACCCCTTATTTTTATTTGTGTAAACATATGCGTATGTATGATTTAAAGAGAAGAATGGTTCTAATCTCAACGCTTTCATGATCTAGGTGCGTATAATTAAAACGCTTAACTTTTATAAACGACTTAAATTAAGCTTTATCAATGCTTTTTTATAATGGTTCGTTTATGGTTAGTAAAATAATTAAGTTTTTGTAGCGAAACATTGGAGGTTAAATTTAAAGAGAAATTAAAGTTACATTTCATCGTAAACGTAGTGCGACCCAGGCCTGTAGCATTTGCATTAAAGTGCAAACTTTATTATGAAAACGTGTAAATTTTCCCTCAGTGTAATCAACACTCCTGCGGATAGCCGCAACTCACTCTGAGGTATAATTAATTAACTGGATAATTTTATGCATACAATTACTCGGTAGAAATAAAATTATGTACTTTTAAATTAACTAGTTTATGCCTACATTTTCCTCTGTGTATAAATTAGATAAGCAAAAATATGTTGATCTACCATATTTTATCAAATTTTCTGTAGCAGTTCAAAAGTATATTATATTTATTTTGAAACTTATTTGATTATCTATACAATTATTGTACGGAAGATTTTTTAATTAATAAACTCTTAAACTACCTGCTAAGAATGCTACAACATCCCTGAGTAACAAAGGCTTATATTTATATCAGAAATATTTAAAAAAATCAAACCGCCAAAACAGGTCGCTAGTAGGCAATATTTCAGTGAAAATTATCTCTAATTATACCGAATTTCGCTAATCGCTTTAATCGCCTCCGTGACTCATATAGTCACGCATTCAGGGGATAAACATTATATATAATCGCTCGAAATCAAATTTAGAACGAAAATAGCAACTCACCTAATCCGTTGACAAGTTTTCTAAGGTATCTGATATCGAAGAAGTGGTCTACGATCCCAATACGATAAGCCCAGTCCAGAGAAGGTGCCGTTAAAATGTACACCAGACATAGCGATGCAAAAGCCAGCATTACTTGGAAAGTTACCTGTAATATAATATTAGGTCCTTTCATATGTATGAAATTGGCGTTTTGTATGGGAGGAACAAAAAGTCGAATATTTTTAAATATAATATATTTAATTAATCAAAGTATGAACCATTGTTTTCTATGCACTTTTGCCATCTCATAGGTAGTTCATTGATCCCTTTACTAAAAAAACCAGTCGGACGGGAATCAATAAAATCTGTGAAGGCGATTTGGACTGCCCCATCAGAGTTAAATTTTTTCCCTTGCAAGAAGTTGTCCAAATTTCGAATTCTTCAAGTGAATTAAAACAGTTTTATCACTAACACCGCAGCCTGCAGCTAACTCGGACGTGGTTTGCGATGGATCCGCTTCCACAATAGCTTTCAATACTTCATTATCAACTTGGGTTTCAGGCCGTCCACGGGGCTTGTTCTGCAGGTCGAAATTTCCAGAACGAAAACGTTGGAACCAAAAACGAACTGTGTTTTCTTTTGCAACATGACCGCCATACACATCATTCACCCTTCGAGTCGTTTCAGCAGCACTAGTGCCACGGCGGAACTCGTACTCGTAAATAATGCGATACTTTAAGTTTTCCATTTTGTAAAATAAGTGACGCAAACAGAAAAAAACAGAAGAAAAATACAAATGAATGACGGTATGAGTAATGAGTAAATAGCTGTACAAATTTGAATTTGGAATTCCTTACCAAAGCGGAGAACATCGTGATTAAAGTGGCCAGTACGAAATACGCCAATTTCATATGTAAGGACCTAATATTAATGTATTTTAATTAGGAATGTAGTCAAATGTGAGGTCGCACTGGAGTGTTTTACTCGTATTTTTAAATATATTAGTAAGTAGTAGTAAATAAATAATTTATAGTACCGGCTATAGTGGCGATCGATTGCGTTGGTGTTTTTCGTTATAGATTGTGGAATACGTTTTGTCACTGTGTAACTAAATTTATGTATATTTTGTAACATTCATAATTTATACTATTGCTGATTTGCTCGCTAGAGATATCTTTACTCGCGATATCTCATACCTTGCTTCTCTTACCCATTTAGAGGTCAACTGACAAAACTTGTTTCTGTCGGGGGGTAATAATGTATACTTTTGCATTATTACGGAAGACTTTTATTAATAAACATATAATTTAGTGATAAATTTACGCAGCAACGGGCGGTGTTATCTCTTATAAGCGATGTCCTGGTAACCCAGGATAAAAGAGAGTTCAACGTAACATAAATTTTTAGTTACACCGTCTACCATTACATAAGCGTACCGTGTGATTTAAACGTACCTCGTACAAGGGCAGTTGAAAACCCTTCAAATAAGCAGGAATGTTGACGAGGAAGAAAATAAAAATGGCGTTGGATACAGCGTGGGAGCCGGCGATGGCCCAAAATTGTCGTGTTCTCAAAACACGCCGCCAAGGGTTCTTTAAAGTTTTCTGAAAGTTTATAATGTGTGTCTCATTATGATACAAGCTAAAAATAACTTCCAAACCGAATAATGTTCATGAAATAGTATTGATATTTATGATAGTTGACTATTTTTCAATGAATAATATTTTCATGACGTGAATATAAATTTTACGGATGTTCGAATGCAGATCTTAAGGTGATCTTAAGGTTGGAGTCAAAAATTCCAAATGCGAAAATGTGAAAATAAAAATATTTATAAATATTTAAAAAAAACAAAATTTTAATGGTATAGGTCGGAGAGCTATACGTGCTCATCCGAACTACGGGGGCGTTGACACACCACCTTTCTAACTTAGGGCTACAATTAATTAGACTAAATTTAATCTCGACTAGAATCGAAATATACCTTACGATAAAATTTTGATGTTTCCTTAATAAATTCGCTTTCCCAATCACCAACAGCCTTATGTTTATCTGGTCTGCTGGCAGTAAGAAGACCCCAAATAACAGCCATGGAGAAGGTCATCATTGCTTGGGAATAGAAAACCAGCTCCCAACCCAGTCTGGCCTCGGTTATTAATCCCGATATTGGTAGGCCTATAATGATGCCTAAAATGAGACCTGAAAAATGTTGCGATTGAATATGCTGGTATAAGTTAAAGGACCGGCAATAGCCTACTAATTGAATTACCTTTAGATTTATTACGGAATAATTGTCTTTAATAATTATGTCGTAGAAGCATTTAATTGCTCGTATGCTATACATGCATACATGCTATAAAGATCTCTCTTTTTCTTGATTATGATTTAGCACTCAGGTACTTCGATATAATTTATTGAAATCTCAAATGACGAATTGTAAATTAAAATGCGACGTGTATTTAGTATCGAAGAAATAAATTTTAAAAATTAAATTTATAATTTGTATTAATTTTCGACACTTTTAATATTTTAATGACAATTAAATTCATTAAATTTCTAACATATGTTCCATTTTCCCTTCCTTTATGTCTCGGAAATCTAAAGTTTGAGATTTGTATAAATATGAATAAGACTGCAAAATTTGTTTGCCAAAGAAGTTTCACTTCCGACATGTGTACTTTGTACGCACGCACTTTTTTTATTTTGATACGTTTCTCACAAAGGAGAGTCTACCTAATTAAACCCTTTAATTAGCGTAATACTTAACGCTCTTGATGTATTTTGGACTGATATTTATTTAGGGAACTGTTCAGAGTTTAGACTACGAAGTTACACTGAGTTTTAGCTCTCAATTTGAGGGTAAGACAAAAATATTCAATTACCTCCTTGAACTATACAGTTAAATGTCGACCTCTCATGTGGTGGTAACCAATTTGTGATTAACTTCTGGTTCACTGGCGTAATACAAGCTTGAGTCATTCCCAAAAGAAATTGGGCGTTGCACGTTGCAATCCATCCACCCTGTAATATAATTTTGGCAATCCCTTTTATCTGTTATACATTACGGTTTTATATTTTTTACAGATCTTGACGTTGAGAGGGGATCATAAAAGAAAATTATTAATACTCAATATAACAAATTAATAACATTGAACGGAATCAAATAGTTGGTATCGTAAGTGTGCCGCTTCATTAATTAACCATACTTTGTAGATTTTTTTTTATAGAACAGGGGGCAAATGGGCAGGAGGCGTATCTGATGTTAATTGATACCGCCGCCCATGGACACTCTCAATGCCAGAGGGCTCGCGACTGCGTTGCCGGCCTTTTAAGAATTGGTACGCTCTTTTCTTGAAGGAAACTAAATACACACGTGTTGTACTAACTACTTCAAGATGACATATAAAATATTGCAAATAAACTAGTAGTGCATTTACGAAGCATACAGTTTAAAGAATTGCATCTTTTTTCAACTAATATCAAATGTAAATTTCGAAAAGTCTATGAAACATTTAAGCGAGTACTGCATATTCAAAACAAAACTCAAGTACACACAAACAGAGTAAGACGAATCACCCGGCACATTCAAGAATTATTTTAAGACTTTGTTGAAACTTCGAAACTCGGTGTCAAAATTGATTTGAAATTAATTAAGCCGATTAGATTACAGCTGCTAAAGTTAAATTAATAACCAAAGTAACATTAGACGATCGTTCATGTTTCATTCGCGGAATTAACGAAAATAGGAAGTTTGTACAGTAGTCGACATTTATTTCTAAAAACAGACCTTAGGGATGAATCGATGAAAAATTTGATGCAAAATTAAATTACTCCTGTAGTTATAATCGGAAAGTGTATCTTTAGGATACTTAAATCCTACATACACGCCACATCCATATAAACCTTTATTTATTTTTTTGAGGCAAACGGCAGGAGGCTCACCTGATGTTAGGTGATACCGCCGCCCGTGGACACTCAAATTGCCAGAAGGATGTTAGTATAAAAATACTTTTATTTTAATATAGTTTTTGCATTACTCAGACATAGTTTTTCATTTTCCTTTACACATTGTTAATAAAATTGATGCGAAACGTGTTTTTTCATAATGAGGGTAACAGTGCTTCATAATTTAAATAAGTACCTTATTGACAATCGTAGGCATTGCAGCAGACATAGATCCATTTATAAGTAAGACAGCCGTCAAAACTAATTTCTCGCCAAATTGGGCCAAATAAACCTCAGCTGGTATCAAAAAAAGTGCGTAACCGAAGAAGTATGACGATAATATTATTCCTTGGATTCGTTGACTCCAATTATGCATCTGTAAACGTAACACATAATAGTTTTGTTTGCTTAAATTTTTGTTACAAAAACTTAGTTGGTTGTGTTCTAGATTTTCATAATAAATTATTTTTACGTTGCACAAAACTTATGGTTTCATTAATTACCGTATGTAAGCCTCATGTAGTTGGGGAATATTTTGTCGTGTCATAATTTGCAAACTCACACACATTTTTGGCTCACAAAACGATTTTTAATTAAAATTATAAGATATATTTGATAATACTAAATAAGTTCAATGTTATTAATATTATCTTATACAAAAATACCGAGGTCTGTTTACTATGCAGATAAAAAAACCGGCACTCCCGGAGTGCGAGTTGCACTCCGGCAGAAGTGTGAAAACTTGAATATTAACGTTGTACATTTTTGATATTTTGGAATGGTTAGGGAATAATTTTGAACAAACTGCTTTTATCATCAGTATAAAAGTACTATCATTTAAGTGATAGAATACAATATTTATTTCTTGCACCATCGTTCACAAACATGACAATTTATATTACATCAAATACGCCGCGCCAGCTGTCTACTCTCCATCCGTCTTACGAATTTTCGATCAGGTCACGTGTCCTGACGCGAGTTTAACATGTTTTACCCATTCTAAAAAAAGTGTACAACGCCGTTAAAGAAGTTTTCACCTAAAAAATGTTTATGGGGTAAAACAGAAGAAACAAACAAACGAAGAAGAAACAAACTTTTTAACGTTACCAGCCCTAAAAAATTAAGTATGAAATTACCTCAATATAGGAACTATTATGATCCATATCGGATATGGCTAATATTCCCACTCCAGTACTCCCCCTCATCGCGCCCATAACAACCGAACACATGAACATATAAATGATTTGTATATGTCGTATGCCGATTTTGAATTCTGTAAAATTTGTCATTAGTTTATGAACATATTTGCACAAATTGTATCGAATAAACGAAAAATATCGCGAAATTCGAAAATTTTATAAATAATTGTAAACTTTCGTTTAGTCTTATAGATGTAACGTGTACTCGTATATCTAAGTTTCCATTTTGTTATGTGAAAAATAAGCAATATCGTGCAAAATACTATATTTGGTCAAAATGAATCGAAATACACGCGCTTACGCATAGTGCAAAACGCGTCGTATTCACAAAGTAGAAATACAAATAATGCGCGGTGCTGCAAATTCGAATATGTCATTATACGAGTAGACAACAAACGATTCGCAATAGAATACGTAAACTTAATATTCAATTTCCAACCATAGATCAAACCCTTTAAATTTGAGTGATTTAAACATTTATTTGTAAGTTATTACTTAGTGAATTTAATTTTTTTTCAGTGATTGATGATTCTTAATACCATTTTGAATATTATATCCATGCACTTTTATTATATGCGAGACGCATTTAGTCAATCTATACAAATATTTTACTATACATTCTATAAAAAAACGTTTTTTAATGGGCTAAAACCAAAGTTAAAATACTCCAAAAATTATTACTTTTAATCATGAAACTTAGTATAATATTTCGGTTCGTATATAAAGGTAGGAGTTAAATATAACAAAGTAATATTCGAAATTTTGAATACTTACTTGTTTTAGTAATAACACCATCATGGCTGTCTTCAAATTTAAATCTCAAGAATTCTGTGTCCATTTTCAATAACATTCATCCTTTGAACACTCCTATGTATAATTTCAATTCTAAGAACACTACAATCGCTATCTAGACAAGATTTTATTTACAAAATTTCAACCTTGCTTACATTAACTCTGTAAACTCCATTACATTATTTACACTACATAAACTGTCTACAACATATTGTTTCTATGGTGAATGAAACTTTATGTATTGTGATTAAAGTCGAAATTGCCAAGGCTAAAATTTCATCTAATTTTGTCCAAGATACAAATGCGTCGGTAATAATCACATTTCGCATATAGTCAGTGTCTTATTAGTATCTGATAAGGATCACGTATGCTAGACTATAATAAAGATAACAATTAAAAATCTTATTTCAAACATCTGAGGCGATATTAAAAAATGTATATAAGAGACTGGATACATTTATTGCGAATTATATTATCATTTATAAATAAAATAAATTTCCATTGGTAGAGCATGAAAATTGGCATTGAGGTGGCCTTTGTCACAGCATAAGCCCTATAGTTTTCTTATATAATAATTAACTGTAAAAAGGTTACCACAGACAGTGTTTTGCATGTAAAATAAAGCTGCAATTTATCTATAGTATTGCCGATAACTTTTTTCTTTATTAGATTTGTGAAAAAAACCTATTTGTTTTATTGAAATCTTTGCTTTGAGTTGAGAATACCATTATCAGCCACCTTTTTTTGTAAATTTATTTAGTGAAAAACACACGTTTCTACGGATTATCTTTATAGATCATATTTATAGTCATCTGTAAACCAATGTTGTATAATAGACCACTTAACACACTAGGTACTTATTTCTAGACTGCACAAGGTTTTACCCTGTTTAGACAAGGAATATTAATGCAATATTTTTAATAAATATGTAGGATTATAAAACAATCTCTGCTATTTATTATTTACTTTTAATCTTGGCTAACCTATACTTCTAAAATAATTATAGTTTTGAATATTAGTATTAATATGACTGATTGACAGCATGTGCATCGACCAAGGCCTCTTTTACGGATTTTACCCTGGCAATCTTTTGTACCAAAATCAACCCCAGTCTTACGTTGCTTCACTTCCCTTACCTAATCGGACTCTGTTGATTCATATTTTCCTTGCTTCTATTACCATCATTTCAATCTTTTACATATTAAACGTAAGCTACCATATTATTAGTTCATTCATGTATCTGACACATAGATCAATGTTGTTACTACTAGGCATGCGGACTCAGTATTTCATTATATTTATTCATTTGATTTATAGTATTCCTACTATACAGCCTTTGGGAAAAAAGACAAACTTGTATGACTTTAAAATTGAATTTACTTTAACCGGTTTAAGTTTTAGTAGTAGATTTGAGACGTCAGCTTATCAGTACTATTCAAACATTGTTAATCGCTTCATTACCCTAACCAGGAGTTTAAATATAGCCTTCTGGTGAGGTATATTCGTTAATTAAACGAACGGGTTCATAATTTATCGTCACTTGTTCATTCCGGCCTGTCATTTACGAGGTATTAATAAATTAATATTTGATATTGAAACATTTTCGTTATAAATTATGTAGAATAATAAAATTCTAAGGAGGTGTGATATTGTGTTAATAAAGTTTAATTTTACGTCGCACCAAAGTGGGATAAATGAAAAACCAACATGAAATGAAAATTACCAAAGTTGTTATAAAACCTCTCAAAGCTTTCCTGCTAATAAAACTGTATGGTGGGGCTCAATTAACATTCCTGTTTCACATACTTTAACAAGAATATAACAATAGTCTCAGACATTATTCAATTTTACACATAAGGTTATCAATTTAACAAATCATTTAAACTTCCAACTCTTAAGACTGAAGTCGGTTTATCGATGAAAATTATATTAAGGTACTGTTTAAGAAGCAGCAAGGTTGTCCTAGTGGCTTTGGTGTGCGACTCCCATGCCTAAGGTCGTAGTTTCGCTCCCCCGGCTGTGCACCAATGGACGTTGTATGTGCGAATCTAACACTGGCTCGTTTCTTGAAAAACACATCGTGAGGAAACCGGCACGTCTCTAATCTACAAATCGACGATATGTGACAGAAGGCTGATCACCTACTGATGATACAAAAATGATCAAAGAGACCGATGTTATCTAAAGCCAAGACTCATTGAGGGTAGCATCGCCACTGGATTGTTATTCTTAAGAAGTGGACAGGTTACCAGTAAGAGCAATAGTTTGTTTGTTCAACTTAATAACCACTATAATGCGATTTATATGGTTAAACGATTTTTTTATTAAAAACTTAAAGAACATACATCCAATTCCATGAGACTATGTGGGTCCAAATTTTATTTATACGCGGAGTCCCACACATATATAGAATGAAACGATTTAATTCAGAATTTAAGTACTTAATTCTATAGGTATAAATTCAGGTACAGAAAGAGAACTGTTTTTATTTTGTGTTTATTATAAATAAATGTGTCAGATCTTCTGTAGCCCATTATCGTCGTTCGAGTTGTTTCATTTCAAATTCCTTTGACTTCAATGCTGGTTGTCTTTCCTCTGTAAGAATTTGAATTAATTAATGGCTGATATTGACAGTTACCATAAGAACATCACGAAACCTTATTTTGATATTTATAAATATTTTAGTAATTTGGAAATACTTCCGGCACAATCTGCAACTCGGGATCGGCACCGGGTCACTATAAAAGTTACGAGATAAAGAGGACCAAATTCTAAGAAATAAATAAATGCGATACCCGGGTCAGCCTTCTGTTTATCCAAGTAGTTGGGGTCATCCCACTCCTGTCTATCTGCGCTCACAAGCAGCACATAAAGAACGTTACAAATGACACCCACTACAGCTGTTCCGAAGAATACGACACGCCATCGCCCTACATCTGTCTGCGAACAAAAAAAGCAATTTTACCTTATCTGATCACCATGAGTCTTTACAAAGTCTTTTTTACGCTGTTAAAGCAGTGTCGGGATAGAGGTTAAGAGTGCGTGGTTGTAGGCTCGAACAGTGGCTGTGTACCAATGGATCTTCCTGCCAACCCACCAATTGAGTGAAAGAAAAAATCGTGAGGACATGCCTTAGACCCAAGAAGTCGACGGCGTGTCAGGTATCAGGTACAGAGAAGCTGATCACATACATCCTCCTTAGACGAAAAGATCACAAAACAGATATGAGGCCCAGATCTTTAAGGTTGTAGCGCCACTTTTTTGTTTACGCCAATTTTACACCAATATAACAATATTCGTTTTTAGGTTATTTTAAAATTAAAAAGACTCTTAAACTACTAAATTGATTTTATGAATCCTTTCAACAATATTAGTACACACATCAAGTAACATAACAAAATATATAACATATTATGTAGTTGGCCACGGGTGAAACCTCAGGGCACAGCCAGTAGGTAATGAAACTTATTTAACAAGAGCTTATTGCTGTTACATAAATTGGTGATCTATTTAAAAGGTGTTTTATTGAAATGCCAAAAAGTGACTTGTCTGAAGAGGCCACTAGTTCTACGTTACGTCATGATTTAGAGACAATCCATTAGTTATAAGAGTCTAAAAAATATCCGTGTTTAGTACTAATACAATATTTTTAACAGCTTTATAAATTAACGAACTTTACAAGGTTAAGTAAGGCACCGTATGCGTAGTTAAATAACAATATTTCATAGATTTTGTATGTGTAAAACAAAATAATAGAAGACAAAGTGTCGACGTCTTCTATTATCGAGCAACTCTTTCAACGAAATCTATTTTGTGGTTGTGGTTTTCAATTTAACCCAAATAAATGTATAATTTAAAATACGAATACAAACCATAGACAATTCAACTGTCGTTGTTCATACTTACAGGGTCATTTCTTAAGATAAAACTATTTGTGATCGGTATCGCAACGGCACCAGCGGATGTGATGCAATTGGTAACGGACAACATTACTCCGCCGTAATTCGGGGAAAGATCTAGATGACTCATCTGAAAATATAATCTTATGAATTGACTAGTTCTTGCATGCCTACTTATTTAAATATTTTCATTGTGACAGTGATCTCAGTAGTAAATGTATAAATAATGCATCTTTTGTTTTAATTTAAAATTAGAACAATAAAATGTTTTTTTATACAACTGGGCAAACAATTTGTATTTTCTTTTATTGTACGAGGACCACTTAAAAATACGGTTTTACATTAATTTTTAACTAATGCTTTTTAAACGAATATTATTTAACTCATAATTTCCTAAACTTACCATAAACCCAGCGGATACAAACCCACATAGAGATAGGGTAACAGTAAGCATCCCGACAGCTAAAGCCTTGCTGTCTGACTTCGCAAACGAGAGAGCTAATAGACCTACGGTCACTCCAGCCACACCTGAAATGTTCTGATAGATTAGATAGATATTGCCGAATGTAGTAATCAATTTTATGTTTCGTTAATATGGCCAGTTTGAAATAAGTGGAGAGAGTTAGAAGAGGCCTACGTGTCCCAGGACACGCTGTAGACCAAATATTTTGTTTTGTACAGTGGTTATAAAAAAAATTATATGGTGACAGAAATAAACGGCCTGAATATTAATATAGCTAGAAACATGCCTACGTATTCAGCCCTAAACATTCGATCATCTTTTTATATAATAAGCATATTATACTTTATAGGAATATATAAAAATATATATGTATTTACATTATATATATAATAATAATTCCAGTGGTGCTACCATGCTCTGTGGGACATATTGCGCCTCTTACATTATTTGATATTTTTTTTGTAGGCTTTCCACGCCAGACAGGTTATCGATCATAAGACATTATTAATTTATCTTCCTATTTCAAACAGAAGTTAATTGCGCTATGTGAGAAAAAATTAATTAACAGCAGCTCACTGCCCGGGGTTCGAACGGACGACCTCAAAGCGGGTAAGCCGTTAGCCTAATACATGTTCACGTGATATAAACAGTATCATAAGTCCTAATAATTATATTAGTTATGGTCAGGTAAATTATCAATTTAAACAGTTTCTTTTAAGTTATGAAATTGATAATTACGTAAGAAAATATTGCTTTGAAATCGATTACAAAAAGCCACCTACCAATACTATTGAACAGTCTTCGTAATGTGACTAATCTAAAAACACCCTTGTTGTACATTTTCTCACACAAAATAGAGGACACCACGTTGCCAACGACCATTCCTATGTATGGTAGAGCTGATAGGAATGCACTCTGAAACATACATAATATACAATTATTAAAATATTTTTTTTACAGTTTTTTTTAATTTTGAAGTTAACTGTTTTAGATTAAAAATGTTTCAACTTTAATGCACTCCTACTTTATGTTTTAACAAGTAAGCTAATTAATTTGTCAATTGTGCTTTACAAACTATTTCTCTGACGATCAAAATCAGATTTTATGGTGGGTCAAGAAAATAGTACACAACAACACATAAACTCATTAAATTATACTAGCAAAATCTATTAAAAATATTGTATAGAATAGGACCATTAAAGTTCTACAAGATAAATAAGAAACAGATTATCGTATTTTATTAAAAAAATATATGATAAATTTCGGAATTAAACTTAGGCAAATTCTGGCCACCTTACCTTATATTGAAGTGAATGAAAGAAAACCTATCGTTAAAACTTACACTGGTTAAACTGATCTGCAAGCCTTTCTCTAGGTAAGTAGGCATATCCACGAAAAACAGCATGTAAACAACAGATGAACCAATATGCCCTGCAAGAGTTCCCCAAAATCCGCGGGTCTTCAAAATATTTAGCCAGGGAGTGCGGAGATTCTAAAAAAATATCTAATAAAAAACCTAAATGATTTGCGTGACGAAGTATGATAAACCGTATTTAGATATATCTTGGTCATAATAGTACAGGATTCCACCACTCAATTCTGGAGCTATTTGTTTTTTTGATGAAATTAATTTTAAATGAATGGGGAGTATGCAAGGGGTAATCGATAGGTTATAAAAAATTGCTGATTTAAATACAAAATATATGTTTTTCGATAAATATAACGTAATTTTAAAAGAAAAAAATTTCAATTCTTCATATCATTTGCTGATTTGCTGACTGGGAGGTTTCATTTATACTTTTGTTAATTATTTCGAAAATTTAATTTTTACATTTCCTGTTTAAGATAATCCAGAGTGGCCCGTTTGGAATTGTCAAGATTAAGACTAAAATTACTTATAAAATACTTTTCAGAAGATGTCATTATGAAATATAACAGTTTCACCAGGGATGAAGACAAGGCCTTAGACTTTTTGGCCAATTAAGGTACCTGGTATAGGTATATCGCAATTATGTAGGAATATTTTTATCACTGCCTCTATCGTATAGACAATTGCGCAGAGAAAAACAAATATACGTTAATTATTATCTTTGTATACATATAGATTCATATTATGTACATTGTAGACTTATAATGCAAAGCAAAGTAATGTTATGAATCAAACATAATCTTGATAATCCCTAAACAATTTGAGGTAATTCTTTAGATTTATTAGTAGCTGTTTTGTACAAAGTACTAAACGATATAAGAGGTGCAAAAGGCGAGGATAATAATTTTCGCCTGCGTCAGTGACGTTTTTCTTATTACGAAGCTTTTATTCCGCAAAACAATTAAAATATGTCTAAGGGACAGTAACTATTCAATGCTCAACTTTACCCAGTAGTTTTTAACGCTAACGTCTCGTACTCTGGATGTTCATAGATAAAGATATAAAATAGTTTGATCTAATCTGCCATTAGAATAAAATCTGAGACCTTCGGGTTAATGGGCCTATCAAAAGCTAGTAAATGAAATTAAATAGCTAATATATGCCTTACTATATTTACTTACACTTGGACCACCGGAATTCAAATCGCTCTCAATGTACTCTCTTTCCTTATAAGTTATAAGTCTATGTTCTCCCGGAGAGCTGGCAGCAAAAAAGTGCCATATAACCGCTTCCACGAACATGAGAGCTGATATACCGTAGAATATTAACTTCCAGCCTAAATCTGTAGCAGCGAGTAGGCCAGACACAGGCATTGCTATGACGATTCCTAATTGACATCCTAAAAGAATAATAAAAATACATAATCTTTTTAGCCAAATGTAAGACCGCTTTCCAGTAAATGTATACCAAGACCAACCATCAATAATATTCTGAGGTTAATTTCAAATATTGCAAACGAATATTACAATGTGACGTAGGGACTTATGATTAATAATGAAAATATACCTCCATAAACAAGACCAGTGTAAGAAGTACGTTCATGCGCAGGCAGCCATTTTCCCAGGAGAGTATGACTTGCCGGAAAGAGACAGGCTTGAGTGAGCCCCATAAGCATTCTACACACACATACTATCTGCCAGCCACCCTAGAGAATAAAACACTATTAATAATAAACCTTTATACCAAACTAGTTACCATTTCCATAAATATGTACTTAAAATTAGGCAGAAATTCTGGACAAGACTGTGTTGTATGCCATGTCCGGTCTTCTGCCGTTAAGATTATATCAAGCTCAACTTCCAGTCAGAAATTCACTCTGTATGACAGAGTTTTCTCTATCGTTGAAAAATTGTCATAATCAAAGTATTAAGAGCGAAACTACGTAATTGATAAACATTTTAATGTATGTAAGGCGAAATGGTAATGTTAACCTCACAAACGCACCGAAGGTGTAAATCAAGCCTTGTGATTCATAGATTCATTATATGCCCCTGTTACATCAAAAAATATCTAATAACAGAATAGACAAAAGACCCAAACGCATTTATAAACACGAAAATAATACTTACAATGCTCACAATTGAAGGAAGGAGTCCACACACAAAACCATTCACAACCAGGGCTACAAGTATGACGAGTTTTCCACCAAATTTCTTTGACAGAAGACCAGCTGGTATTTGCATCACCATGTATCCCCAGAAGAAAGACGATAAGATAAGACCTTGGGTCTTTTTATCCCAGTCGTATATCTGCAAGAGAAATAATCTAAACAGTAATTATGTCGAAGCGGTAACTGCTTTGTACGTAAACAACTGTGTGAAATATTTCGACTTTTTTCTAGTCCGAGGTTTTAAAACTGACGTAATAATAATCAAGATGATAGAAGAAAATGAGGTAGCTGACAAAAGCAGCAGCAGATCTTAAAAAGATTCTATTTCTAGCATTTACAATCTGAGACCAAATTTATGCAAGTCATGCATATATAACTATGCTAGAGAGTTGTTGCCCCACATATCTTTATGGTGCCTCTGGCGGTATTGTTGTGTACCGGGTTGTGCAGCTCCCTCAAAAATGGTTGAGCTGCATGAGCTATTCGGGGCATGCTAGCCGTCTGCTGGCGCAGGCTTGCTCAGATCGATCTGGTTCTTTCTTCCAAAGACCAGTCCAGTAAATTACTCTGCATTTGTTTACACCAACTTATTAATTTATTATTGTATTATCTGGACTATAAAAGAGACTAAGACCCCCGAGTTTGTTTCGACATTTCTTCTCAGGGCAGTCAGTTAGGAAATGTCGACTTCATCTAGTTTAGGAAGACATTGTAAAAGTGATTTATATAGTCCTACTTGCAAGAATAAACTATTTCATTTCATTTCATTTCATTGCTAAAATATTAATTAAATGTACGTAGTTTTTAACAAAATTTTAAGACTTTCTATGTAGTTGTAGCCTAAAAGATTTGCGTTATGAAAACGAGCTACGATAGAAAACTTTTTAACGTTTCCTAGAAATAGAATCTTTCTTAGATTGTTGCTATTGTTTCATTGTTTGCAGTCGATAATTGAAAATACTTTCAAGTGTGTTAGTCTCCTTTTCAAGCTCCCAAGTCCGAGAGAAGAGAAAAATAATTATCAAATTTGATGAACAGGCACCATTAAACACTAGTTTTTTTTTCGAATGGGATCTCGCTGTTGGCCTTAAGGGCCTTTACAGCTCAGCTTGGCCGGAAGGGGCGTTTACCCGCGACAAGTGCAAGGGCGTCTCTGTGATACTCGGACCTCGGCTTGGGTCGCGCGGGGTAAAAAAAATGTATATGCAATAATCGCCAACTTGTGGTCAGCATTAAATTCATTAAACAAGGTGTATGTTTATACCTCAACTTTTGAATCCCGCCGTCTACTGATATCCGTCATAGCCAATACTGCAACTCCCATACTGCTTCTCACGATGAATAGTGTTATCATGTTGAGTCCCATACAAAACATTTGAAGATGGCGAATACCGATGCCATATTCTACTATAAGTTATAAAAACAATTTTACTTATAGACTCTGTCCAGGCGGTAATTAAAATTAATTCTTCGATACATCGTTTAGTGTTAATTAAGAATTATTATAAAAATATATCTTTACATTAACAAAAACACCAATCAACTGTTAACTCTCATTTTAAAAATGTTATACATCACAATTTTGACCATACATTTTATACATCGTTATACATACATAATAATATATAAAATCACAAATACAATATATTATATTATATATATTTATATAAAACTGTCGGACCCAACAAATGTTGGACACACGACGAAAATCAAAATCAGTCCACCCGTTAAGGAGGAGTTTAATTACACACACACAGAAGATTTATATATACAAAGATAAACTTACGCTTTTCCTTTTTTAAATCGGCCTTTTCCATGTTAAGTATTTCTTAATTATTTATAGTTATAACAAAACAGAAATCACAGACTTCTGTTTTATATCAAACAATGTGAACAATGAAATTTCACACTTACTAACAAAGCATAATAATTATTTTTCATGATTATATAATCAGTATCATTAAGATATATCATTAGATAATGTTGATGATTCCTATGCTAATAAAGTAGCACATTTAATACATTTGTCAATAGTAAATTTACAGCTAACTTACTCAAACCAATTTAAGAAGGCTAGTTTGGCATAAATAATATTTTAAGTAGGATTAGAAAAAAACATTTTAAGAAAAGAGCCTACCATTCTCTGAAAGGTCAGCAACACACCCGCTAGCCCCCGGCGTTGCAGTTCAAAAAAAAATAGAACATTAACGAGAAACTCTTTGTCATCAATCATATAAGATACACACATTACATAAAAAGGGTGCGTGTACCTACTTATGAACGCGCGTACGAAGTTATACTTCTTTGGCATTATTAAAAATAGTTTTTGATTGCATGCAAATTATTAATTACAATTAAATAATCAAGGACGAGAAAAGGAGTCATTATAGTCAATAAAGTTCAGTTTACATTTGAAAAATTAAATAAAAAAATGTGCGTGTACTAGTTTATCTAATTTAACTTTATTTAACCAATTTCTGTAAAGTTGCATATAGTAGATCATTTTTCGAAAAATAAGGTCATAAAGAAGTTTCACTTCTTACGTGTGTACATGTTAGTACACCTAGTACACGCACACATTTTATTTTTTTATAACGTAATTAGTATAACTTCAAAAAAAAAACAGAGAAATTGGATGCCAAAGCTATCTGTAAATGTATTGTGCATGCAGTAAATATACATTACATGTACGCGAGACATCAAAGTTATTAGACATCCCCTTTTGGTGTGGAGATAAAAAATAGGTATGTCATTTTTGTCATACTTGTAAACAAAACGTACGAAACAACTTAAAAGATTTCTAAAAATCAGTTTAGTATCGTGAAGAAAATGAAATATAGTATTTAGGAATATTTCTTAGGTAAAAATAAAATGCCTTTTAAGAATTGGTATGCTCTTTTCTTCTTATACATTTAGTGTCTCTCCATTAGTGGAGGTTGGCCGTCAGTCTCTTGAAGCGTGTATTGTCCTATGCAACTTTTGCGTTGTTTAATATTCTGCATAAGTTTTTTCGACATTCCAACTCGTTTAAGAACCTTCTCATTAGAGACCTTCTGGATGCAACTAATACTAAGCTCTTTTCTTGAAAGACCCTAATAAGAATTCACACAGTGGTGGCGTGTGGCCAAAATTACCATAAAAACGCTCAATAGTTTTTGTATGTTAATTTTAACAAAAAATCACAAGCGATGTTTTGTTTGATAAATGATTACAGTGATAAAGTTTATACAACTCAGTAGATATTAAAATATCGGAGTATATTATAACACTAATTACATTTTTAAGATTTCTTCTTGTGTAAATATTGAGGAAATTTGCGTAATATACTTATCTTCATCGAAATACAAACAATATATCTAGTTCAATCCAACTTTGAGTTTTAATAATAATTTACAAACTTTTATTAGAAATACAATATATCTTGTGTAAGTACAGTTCGGGATATAACTTCGCGAGTGCTGTTTAAAAAATATTGTTCTTTAAGTTGTATTATAAGCCTATACAAGCTTCTGTTATTAAAACATCAATACCGACTAATAAGCTACATAATAATGGCTAAAGCTACTGAGCGATGTATGTCAAGGGTGAGTGGAAACAAAAATACACTGTAAAAAGGTCGGCAATAATTCTCGTATTTACAGCGATGGTCACTAAAAAATTTAAACAAATGAATCAGTGCGGTTCGCTGTTAATATTTTTTTAAAAAGTGCATGCGTACAAAGTACACATGTCAGAAGTGAAACTTCTTTGGCAAACTAATTTCTAAGTCTTGTTCATATTTATACAAATCTAAAACTTTAGATTTCCGATACTTAGAGCGAGGGAAAAAGGAAGATATGTTAGGAATTAAATTAATTTAATTATCATTAAAATATTAAAAGTGTCGAAAATTTATACAAATAATTTATTTATTTCTTCGATAATAAAAACACGTGGCATTTTAATTTACAATAAATATATAAATAAATAATACCAAACTATATGAAAAGGCTCATAGGATAATCGAATCATGATGCACTTTCACATTTCGTCAATATATCAAGAAATGATTTTTAAAGACTTATTTGACAACAATAAGTCTTAGTATAGAGGGAGCTGGTGGTAACTCGATAGTGCCATAGAACATATAAATTCCTTTCAAAAGTTTTGCAAAAATAATAGGTACAAATATTAAAATTATATTAAACTTGGGAACTTGACCCTTATAATAAAATACCACAGATACATCATTTAACAGAAATTTTATTATCTTATATTACAAATATTATAACTTTGTTTTAAATTCCTCGTTTTCTTCTACACAATCATCATGGGTCCGAGAACGCCTTTTCTTCTTGCCTGAAATCGATTTTTTATTAATTATAATAAAGCGCTACTGTATTCGTAAAAAATAATCTTATTTCAACGTTTTAACCAAAACTCCCCATTTTCATCACAACGTAAATATTATTCAACAACAGAAAGAGTCGAAAGATAACTTTAGTTAAAGGAGTGCAATTTAAAGGTATTTCCCATAATATTAAGGCGAGAATTTTTTTTTTTCGTTGACGACAATTGCAAATTAAAACCTCAAAATTGTATACCTATGAATGATACAGATTAGTTCTATGCCTAAGCGAATATTGGATATCGTATTTTCATCAATTTATAATGGCTTTGGGCTTCAAGCTTAAAAACGTATATCTAATGTATATTTACTTTACAAAGCTATTCTTTTCCAAAGCTTAACATTTTACATAAGTGATTTTTAATCTATATTGGAAAATGGGATGCCATTATTTTTCGTATTATAATTTTGCTTTCATACCTATTTATTGGTTGTCAACGTTAATAAATATTATTCAACTGTTTACATACAAGAAAAACAGTACGTTTACATAAGTTATCAAGAGTTCAATGCGTAAGCGCAGATTTGTAAAAAGGTGGTCGCAATTATTAAGAAAGTAATTCGTATTTTCGATATACTAAGTAAAAAATTATTCATACCAAACAAAATTTTGAGAAACGTAGATGTCGGCCCGTCCACCAAAACACACAAGATGCAGCCACAAATAAGGGATATCAAAATGTAGTTCGATGCGTAGTATACCTATAAATAAATAACCATTATATGCTTTACACAATATGGTGTCCTTGTCGAAGAGGAACTATATTAGAAAAAATTTATATAATATAATATTAATTATAATAGGATAAGATCTTAATACAATAAATACAATATAAGATATCGTTTGTTAATAAAATTTGAGCAGTTTAGAACTGAACGGAGACAGGATTAAAACAGAATTTGTATACTAATTATTGTATAAGGAAACGATGCGTCCAAACTGCCAAAAGTAAAGGTATAGTACCTATATAGTACATATTGACGTAAAATTGAAAAATCTATCGTGAAGATGTGCTAAGGCCGCATATACTCGTATTTATTCAAAGTTACAACTGTCGCACAAGAAGACCAAACATAAACGTTAATGCGTTTAAAAAAACGTTTAGTTTCATTAATAATGTTAATAGACATCTTTAAAGTTCAAAAGAATTTAAAAAAACATTTATCGTTCTAATGATGATGGTATAACTACCATGCCCAACAAAATTGTGTGACCGATTGACCTCGTATGCTTCTTTGGCATCCGAAAACATTAACAAAGACGAATTAATATTTGTTTATTATTGTTCATAGAACTTACTGTATTCATTTCGGTAAAATATCGCGTCTGTACTGCTCCGCTGGTACTGATCAAAATAACTTGTAAGTGTATCATATATACTCCGTATGATACTCTTGATGGTAGCTTCCACATTGGTAATGATAAAAACCAATTGAGAAGACCTTAAAACACAGGATAATTGCGGTTGAATCTGATACATGTGCCTATGAAAGGTTTATAAAAGTTAAAGAAAACTTTATTTTTCTATTTATTCCATTAATCAATTTAAATGCATTAAATTAATATTGTAATTTATTTAAACAATTTTTACAATTTTGCTGAAAGTATCACAAGTTTCATAATTGTATTTAATATTTGACCTTAATTTGTTATCATCAAAACTTAAACAAAGCTGAACACAATGTAATGGAAATTAAAGAAGAGATATTTTCTAGAAAAGCTTTACATTTATATTAAAAAATACGTATGCGCGCTATGATTCCCGTATGTCAAAACCTTACCTCCATAACCATGTTTACATGCCAATACGATCCAGCCTACGATAGCGGCCCATATAGCTCTCATTACAACGTTGAAGAAAAGATCATAGTACGTGAACTTGTACGGCAGTTGTACCATCATGTATATTGTGAGATACAAATAGGCTAATGCTACGAAAGATATTGTCCAGCAAATTGTGACGAATTTCTGTAATTACAAAAAGTTGTAGTGAAATTTCAAGAGCAGTGTTGGCAGTTTGACCTCATCCCTGAGGTCGTAGGTTTGAACCCCGGCTGTACACCGGCTTTGAGTGTGCGCATTTAAAACTCGCTGGTTCGAAGGGAAAACATTGTGAAGGAACCGGAAAGTCTTAGGCCTACAACGCACTAGCGGCTGGCCGCGATGCGGTGTGCCGCTGCGGTAGGCCGCGGTATATAGGGTCTGCCGTAGCGGCATGCCGTATTCCGGCTAACCGTCCCTATTGCGGTCCTATTGCGGTCTGCCGCAATCGTCACTCGTCAGTGCTTCTTGAAAAATTGCACATGATGGACGTTGAAGAAGTTTCGGCAGTTATTTATTTATATAATCGTAGAAAATATCGTCAAAAAAACTCTGCGTAGTGTCTAGCGCAAGGAACAAGCGATGGCTGAGGCGGGTAGGACTTGGTATTTGCGGCTAACCGCGCCGAGTGCGTGGAGGGGATGCGATGCAGTGCGTTGTTATCGTGCGGTTTCATGTAATAATCGATGTGCGGCCTACCGCAGCGGCACACCGCATCGCGGCCAGCCGCTAGTGCGTTGTAGGCCTTAGACTCAAAATGTCATCGGCGTGTGTCAGGCACAAGCTAATCTGCACCTTATTAACAAATAGATACAACAAACTGAATCATAGTGGGTTGTACCGCCACGTTAAATATTTAAACTTATGTACACTTTAAAAACAAACTCGCTGACACAGTTTAGGTAATTCGACTTAAGTAAATAATGTATTAAGTAACAAATTTTCCCTTAAATTAAAATAATTGACCTGGGTTTAGTAGTTTTTAAGTTGATTCGTTACATACATATGAATCCTCTATTAAGGCGTCCATTACCAGCGAAAAGCAAATTAATAATATTATGTACCTTTGACAATTGTAATCCTTTTTCTCTATGTACCCAGAGTATGTAGCCAAACATCATACCGACAACGAAAGGAGAAGCCCTTGTAGGTGTATTCATGTAAAAGTTTATGTAATAATCCGCAAAGTTTTGTGTCTGCCTATAAATAAAAAGCTGGCATAAAAACTAGAAAATAAATAATATTTACTCTCAGTGGAAAATCGTGTATAGAGATAAAAGTATTTTATTTTAATAAAAATATGAGGATTTCATTAAAGCGGGCCATAGACGGACCGCATGTTGTAGTCAGGACCGACTGCAATACCTATGCGGTCGCCGCACGGCAATCTGCAGAAATAAATTAATAATATGAAACTAAATTCATATTCGGAATACACGGACCGCTCGAGCAGTTCCTGAGCAAACCGCATATTGCAGTTGGTCTTGAATGCAACATGCGGTCCGTCTATGGCCCGCTTAGGAATGGTAAAAATTTAGCTTACCATAAACCATTTAAAACAGAGGGATACTCGTAGTAGGCGGCGTAGTAAGCCAGAGCAGCCAATGATGCTATGAAAGTTATGGTTAGTGCACACCAGGCAGCTGTCGAGGATATAAGCAGGAAGATAATCACGAAAGGGCTCACGAAATATAGCTGAGTATCCACAGTTAGATACCAGGATTGTAGAAGGCACTGAAATATTTTATGGTCAGTTCATTAAAGAAAAGAAGTGCTGTCTGCACTTGCTGCCCTACTCCACATTTTAGTTACCGAAATTGTTTATAACTTAGTTCTTTCCTTTTTTTAGTTATTGTTAATTTGTTGTGTTTGTTAGTACGCATTGTTTTAGAGTTACGTAGTTGCAATTATATTTTAATATGAATTTCAACTAGGACACTAAATTAATAACATTCTAAGAAACATTGCAGCTCATGCCGGTTTACTTCTTTTAATAAGTTTGTAATTGACTTTTGCGCATGATGAAAGTGTAATTTATTTCAAAATTAATTTATTCATGTAGATAAGTATGTCCGCTTATGAACATCATCATTAATATTGGAAGGATCTTAATTTACATTCGAAGCTTGTAAACATTTAAAGTTGAGAAATGTTAGGTGAAATTGTTATTATGATTTGATATAACGAACTTGACATGATACAAAAGATGTTTGTTTCATACGTACATATACATTTTTATTTATTTACTTATTTTCTATTCTTACAGTAACTTAATACTAATACAATAGAAAACTTATTAATACAAAATTATAACTAAGAACATAATATTACCTACAAACAAAACAAGAAAATATAAAATCTAAACCTCATTATAACAAATGATAAATATTGCAATCCAGTATAGTATACATATTATACAGTAAGTGAGATCTCAATGTATATAATTATAGTGTCTGAGAATTCAGCCAGAGTACAACTAAATATATCAGTCTCACATGTAATAGTATTCAGGGTATACTAAACAAAATATGCGATGGTTTTGATAAAATTCTACGCACAGGCCTTTTTAATAATATGAATTGTCTTACCACACCAGCTGGTCGTATATAATTTTGTATATGCAGCAGAGTCGCCCACCATCTGGTTCTGCAGGCCTCAACACAATACGCCATACGATCCCAGTCAGGCCCATCAGTTATCCAATGAAAAATGGAAGCCTGGAGAAGGACTGCCGTCCCCAGAATCGGAAGCGTCCTTAGAAATCGGTAGGAATAGAAGATGTGAATCGATTTAATGAAGCGTACTGGAAAAATTAATAGTTGTAAACGCCATTTAACGGAATCTTTGCAAAAAATATCAATATTATATATATATACTAGCAGACCGGCCAAGCGTTGCTGTGGCTAAGGTTTTTATATTACATAGTAGTAAACTATTCAAGGGAAACGGTAGGAGAACTTATGTGAAAGGTAGATAGCTTATGTGAAACGTTGTAACTTTTAACACAGCGCCATCTGTTAGAATTGTATCCCTTGCCCAGGTGTTCATGGGCGGCTGTTGCGTGTCGGTGTTAAGCGGAAATTAACTTTAAAGCCATCTACTAATACCGACTTACATGGTGACATTTTATTAGGTAAGACATAGACGCAGAACAGTCCACTCAACATAAAGAATGTATCTACAACCATTGGTGCTGTGTTAATCCATGTACTTGTAAACAGCATTGTCCACTGTAAAATTATAAAGTGTCATTAAAAGCACAGTGTTGTTCAAATTCATAGTACTCGACTGAAGCTGTGTTAGCGTTCAATTTTTAATACATGTCCACCAGTAAAATTTGATGAAACACGACGAGAATTAGTAGACATTATTAACAGCTTATGTATTTCCAAAATTAAAATAAAATATTTATAAAATTAAGTGATTTTTATAAAATTACCAGAAATAATTTTCCTATCCATTATTTTGTTTAAATGGAACTTGGCTCTCATTAATTATAATTTACATACCTGCATCAAATCCAATATATTATGAGCGGGAGATAATATTTGAAACACATAAGTGTGACCATATATCACCCATAACATCGAAAGAGATCTAATTCCGTCGACACAATCAATTGTAAATTGCGAAGATTCAAAATTTAGTAATCGTTTGGTGTTTGTGTAAACTGATAGCGATGATAGAAGGACGTGTTTGGACCGAGCTAAAACAGAGTTAATATAAATGTGTAGGGTTTTAAATGCCGTCGCACGAATTTGATGGGGGAACACCTCCAAGTGATTTTTACTGCCGGTAACACGTCTAAGTATTAAAAAAAAATTTTGTGTAATGTATTGAAATTTGGAAACAATCCTCCATTTTCTACTATTCTATTGGTTATGAGAGATGTCACGTTCACTTTGAAAAATCGTGTTTTTAATTAATCGATTTTTAATAATTGCTTTTTAAGTAACGGATTTCTAACGGATATTTTGCACTGTAAGACTGTTCACACATTGTTCTAGCAAAATCCACATTCGAAATGGCCGTTTGCGTTTATAAAATTAATAGGGATGTGAAAAATAATCGATTTCTTTAAAAGTGAAAATCGATTTTTGTATTCGATTTTGATATTAAAAATAATTGAAAATCAATCATAGTTGATCAGTTTCAGTTGAACAGTTATTTAAAAAAGAAATAAGTATAACTTCTTACGCGTGTACTTATGTACGCGCGTAAGAAGTTATACTTATTTGGCTTTCTTTATTGTTTTTTAATATTAAATAATTAATAATAAATATTTGACGTTAATAATATAACAATATTAAATATTTAGTATATTATTCAATTATTAATTAATATTAATAATAATAATTATTATTTATTATTTTATTCATTCGGCAGCAATCGTTTCCGACAGCAAAAATCACTTGGAGTTGTTCCAATGAAGGTCCCCCGTGACTCCTGCATAATCAGTATCATCAAATTCGTGTGACGAAATTCGATACTATTACCCATGGCACACGGTAACAATTTTTTTTATAAATATGTAATAATTGCTTAATAAAGTTGAATAAAATTATGGAAACAGTAGAAGTACTTACATTTTTTAATAAACCTGTTGTATAGATCAAAGCTAGTGCTGAGAAACGTCAACAGAAATAGCATACCAAATACGCCACTAAAACCAAACAATATTATCATACTAATATTTATGTACATTAAAATATATTGGACTTAATTTATTTAAAAATTAATAATAGCATATTATTCGTTGATAAATTATAAGAATAAAGAGATAGAAATTTATGTGTAAGTATAAGTAATCTTTTGAACGTAAACGTTATGCTTCTTAGGGTCGATTCAACCAAACAAGAGTAAATCTTAATCTTAGAATAAATCGTCAGATAATCGAGAGTAAATCAATTTTACGTTTTACCATCTACAAATTCTAAGAATAGTGGGCCTATACGAGAATTGTTACTATACCGCCGTTTTTACCTAATTCGTGATAACTTTATAAAAAAATCAGTTATTAAGTAATATAACTCACAATGCGACATAATCAGATGTAGTAAACATTTTGTCGCCGGGCAGACGACAGGCGCCCTCTATATATTCCACCTTCGGCACACGCACTAACGAAGTTATGTAGTCCCCCACCTGCTTCAACGTACACACTTTTGGTATACACATTCCCAGTCGTACAGAAATAAGTGAAGTATCCCTGTAATAATGGAAATTAATGATTTCAGTGAAAAATATCTTGTGTGCCTTTCGCCTTCAACAAAGTTTGGTTCGTTGTAGAATATAAAAGTGGCGATCCCGGTACGTATTAGGGTGCGTACAGACTATGTAACATATTATATAACTTGTGTTTTATAACACGTCCACATTATGTAACCTTGTTATTCAACATTATAACATAAAACAATACCGTACACATTAGAATAACAATGCAATATAACAATGTTATATAACCATTTTAAATAACAAAAGAAAAACAAAAAACGTAGATGCTGGGTTCGTCTTAGCAAACATATCAATAACATGTTATTATAACATTCAGTGTCCACATTATCTGAAACATGTTGTATAGCAATGTTGAATAACATGTTATGTCTGTACGCACCTTTACATGAAAAAAAAAGGATTATTAAAAAAAAACAAACTGAATGTAGACAAGACATGTAAAGTACCTACTAAAACTTTTATAATTTTAATTGCCAACATTTTAATTAACGTTTTCTATTAATACTTCACATTTCATGGAATATAACACACGCATAAATAGCACGAGTGAGCAAGCTGTCTCACTCGGAATCAGTTCCTAATAAGCATTCATTGATTTCATCACCGTCATCATTTTAATTGGTTTTCTTACATACGTAAATTTACTTACTTAATTTCTATGGTCTCCATCAAATCACTTACAAAACCCTCGGAGTTTGTGAGCTCCGCAATGGAGAAGTTAGGCATCTCCATCAACTTATACAATAAAGGCATGGTCAAGTTTTGTATAGAAGGCACACTTAAATAGCAGTATTTTCCTTGAATGTGCATGTCCTCTGCCTGATTGTTTATGTTAAGACATTCAAAATAATCTCCATACGCAATATGGTTTAATTTTAAAATGCCACTAGGCATTTTCGCACTGGCATCAATGACTACAACAAAATACACGCCAAACATTAAAACATATATTTTATTTTTACCGTCCATACCCTTTTTTACTTTAAGTTATTAGTTGTTTTCCAATTTTGCCAATGTAAATTTACCTTATACCTATCAATAATTATTTACATTTCATTCGATCTAATAAATTATTATAAGCACGTTTTTCAGACCAGATAAATGCGATAAGCGATTATCTAAATAAACAGCTGCTTGGTCACTTCATTATGTTTCCCAACCAGTAATTTAAAATTTATTGCATGCTCCGATTGACTGAAGTAGGTTTCTCTACCTTTCTACCTAGCCCTTAGCGAAGGACTACTTATTTTTACAGCTTTCAATTGAATATCTACACGATTTAAATGTGACATTTATACTTACAGGGGAGTACCATTGAACTATCTGTAAGAAAATGCAGTTGTTTCTCACACTCCGCGAAATCCAAGGCATCTCTGTACATCTGCTTATTGTATGCATTGAATGGGTTTGATGACTCTAGAAATGACGTCATTGTTTTGATGATCTGCAATTTAAATTTTATTAATAAGCTACATGAAAACGCATGGCCGTAGGATTAAAAATAAAGATGTAACGTCCAATTCGAGTTGACATGTGACATGAGAAGTGATGTTATAACGTCCTTTTGTCCTATTTTAACCGAACGAGACCATCTTGCGTCATGTTTTTACATTCCCATCACTCAGATCTATCCCCTCTTAACGGAGACAAGTGACATATAAATGAGATGACTTTCTACCATATGCCGACAACGAATGTTGCTTTATCGTCGGAAATAAATTGCGCCATGGTGATGAGAAATTGGAAACTAATCTTGGTTGATAACACAGAAGGAAAAAAACTCTACGCGATAAAAAGAGCGCCTCTCTTGTGGCCTCGAAGATGGCAGAAACCAGTAGAAACAGATAGTACTTTAACCACGATGCTCAGACATGATCTGCTAATAACAGAGACAAAGAAAGCATTGATAGTGATGAAATAATGTAATATGACGACATATCATGTTGCGTTATGCTTATTGGATGTTTATTGTTACCGAGCTTACCATATAACTCGTGAAATTTAGCATAAATTAAATACCTACCCTTATCAAAATTGGTGTGAAATACAATTAAAGAAACGAACAATTTGCGGTGAAATATACAATCGTTGTAATTTCGAAAAACAAGCTGCAAATTAAAGTGAAATTTAGTTCTTAAATTAATTTTCTTCGGCAATTAGAAAAGTTTGCGGATTGTTAGAAAGACATTTTCGCGAAAATATAGAATTAGGTTAAGAGCTTGTTATAACTTCGCTTGTTAAGAAACCCTTGTTTAAATGAAGTTATTAGTTCATTTGTACGGGTGTCTAACAAATGCAACCCTTCAAGTTTTGCGACCAGCCTTGCGATTCTGTAACTCACTCTGTAACGCACTTCACCGCTGTGCGAGTTCGAAAAGTGAGTTACAGAATCGCAAGGCTGTACTTTGTAATGCATAAAACTGTACGCATAATTTAATAAGCGTTCATCAATTGCTTCTTTTGTTTTTGTGAGAAAGATATTAGGATACCTATGACAAGTAATATTTCCTAGCTTCTTGAAGATAGATATATAGAAAATTCATTTTTTATATGAACCATAATAGTTTGATTTAAAGTAATCTGAATAATAAAGATTGTTTAACTTAATTTGAAAAATAATTTTTGAACTGCACAAAAAAAATAATATGGAAGATTAATGCATGCATTAAATAAAGCTTTAATAATAATAATAATGCATTATATTTATAATTTAACATACCTGAAATAATTAGATTTGATGAAACAATTCAGACACCGATATCTACATAATATAATAACACTAATAATACATTTGATTTTTTTTAGTTCCTCATTAGAACAAGCCAAGTATTTCATATGAATTAAAAATTTACACATATCGTAATGTGATCTTTAAATATCCACGATTTACTAAAAAATCGTGATTTATATTGACGTAGTAACAAGTATTATACTGATAAGGATTCACTTCGTGTGCGTTTGAAGTCGTGTCAATAGCGCCCGAGCCAGACACGACGCTTCGAATTATTTTAATTAATTAAATGTTTTCTTCTGCCTATACAAGTATTTTTTTATTTGAGAATCAAAATTAGAACATAATAATCCGCACTGTTACCAACTTAGTCGATTAACTGACGAAGTCTGTACTTTGCCATTATAAACGTACTTTAAGCTTCAATGAATGTTTGCCTTTCGCATTTATATCACTGGGAATTATGATAATCGAGTTATCGAAAAGCCAGCAATTTTTACGGATACGGATACTGAGATTGACTTCTTTTACTATTTTATTTATTAGCAATATATTTAAGTTAAGAATATATATTTAATAAATATTTATTTATTATTCTTTATAAATATAAAGCTAACAAAGCAAATAGAAACTAGCGTGTTTCAATAAACCATTTTGTACTTCTTTATAACAATATAGTATTTTATAATGATTTATCTCACAAATAATTTAATTAGCTAGATAGAGACATACATTCACTCAGCAATCATATTACATAATATTACGGGTAAAATAAAGCGAATTCAATTCATATAGAGATTAAATAATTATAGCGGTTCATTCACTTATTTGAAATATCATATTTACTCTGGTTTCAATAAATTTATTCATATGAATACGAAAATAAAATTAAACAAACAGGTTCGAAAATATTTATTAGTATTTTACAATTTTGTTCTGTGTTCGTTATTTTCTTCCTCTGATGTTTTTGTATGTTTGTCCAATCGGGGACGTTTTCGTACTGGAAAGAAAGATAAACTATAAATATGATTTTACCAGTTTTATTTTAAATGTGTGAGTCCTAGATTCCACCACTGGAATAAAAAAAAAACCGGGATATTGACACTTATCACATATACAATATTTATAATGCTAGCTGTGGTCTGCCGATTCGTTCGTAGCTTGATTTCATAAAGGAGCTATAAAGCATAAAATATTTATTGTAAAATGGTTCAAACCAACAAGTTCGGGCTTATTATGATAAAAAAGTATAGATTTGAAATTGAAAAACCACATTAGAACACCAAAAACAAAAAATAAATACATTAAAAACACATGTGCAACTGATTGTTTATAGTATCTTGAAATCGACACCTTAGTGCTGGAAATCTTTTATATCACTAGGCATTTTGATCGTACTCCTCTCTCAAAGACCGCTTGCATTAACGAAAATGGGTGTCAGGTTGCGTTAGCTGCTCTTTATGGGTGTCCCATAGCTCGTTTGGCACGTTTCTAATAAATCTTATAATTTGCGTTACAATAATGATTATAATTTAAACTTTACCCATAGCAAGCTTAAGTAGTGTAGCACATGGTTCATCAATTAACAAACAAATGGCAAAAGCAAGAGCCAAAGACAACAAAGTATATCCTGCAGCGAAATATAACTGAAATGTAAAAAAAAATAATTTAAATAAAATTGGCATTTAAAAATAAATATTATTTTATAACAAATGAGGGTTACCCTTAAGTTATTACTTACTATTACTAGAAGGTCACTTAAAGAGGGACTGTATAAATTAACCTACTTGGTATTACATGGATCTCACAACTTTTTACAGAAGAACAGAGTTACGAGACTTTTTTTACATGTTTACATGAGTGTTTTGTAAGGCAGTTTTTGCCGCGCACCACCACTATGTGGAATCAGCTGCCCACTGAAGTATTTCCGAACCAATTCGACTTAGGGTCCTTCAAGAAAAGAGCGTACCAATTCTTGAAAGGCCGGCACTTGCGAGCCTTCTGGCAGTGTGTGTGTCCATGGGCGGCGGTATCACTTAACATCAGGTGAGCCTCCTATCCGTTTGCCTCCTATTACATAATATAATATGTGATAATAATAATATGATTGGACAATTCACACCAATTGACCTAGTCCCATGCTAAGCTGGTGAAGCTTGTGTTATGGGTACTTACTTGGCAACGGATATACATACATATTATAGATAGATAGACATATAAATACATATTTAAACACCCAAGACCTAAGCACAACACCAAATGCTCATCACATCGATGTTTGTCTCAGCTGGGGATCGAACCCGGGACCCATAGATTCGCAGTCAGGGTACTAACCACTAGACCAATGAGCGGTCAAAAAACGGTATTAAATTAAAACGTACGGTATCAATTTCAGTGAAATACCGGGGTGCCAAAACACTATTAGCATGTGACATGATAACTTGTACGTGTGTAAGGTATACGGCGTACGATAATCTAGAAGGCAACTTCCACATTGGGAGAGATAAAAACCAGTTCAGTGGACCTGCAAAATAAAATAATGATTAACATAAATATTTTAACTTTATATTATTACTAGCTGACCCGGCAAACATCGTTTTGCCATGTATATTATTTCTAGGATTTTTTTTTAGTTTAATAAAAAGAACTATCTAGTAAAATATTAAGTAGAGGTTATTCGTAATTAAGGGTTGTATGTATTTTTGTATGATGTATCATAAAAAAAAATAAAAACAAAAACTTTTTCTAAAACATACAAATTTATGGGTAAATAGATGTTGTCCGATTCCCAGACTAACTGAATATGCACAAAAAAAAACATAAAAACAGGCGAGCCGTTTCGGAGGAGTATGGGAACGAACATTGAGAAACGAGAATTTTATATATTAGATACTCATTTTTTAATAAAGTTCGTACTTTATCTCTATACATTTACACCTTTTTTAAAGTGATTTAAGTACATCATATTATTGGGATGCACGTCACTTATATATATATATATATATAAATACTCGACATACATTGTTTTATTGTACACAATCCGCATGCATTCTAAACTAACGTGCACCACTAGTAATAATAACTTACCCCCATATCCGTGAGTACATGCCAAAATTATCCAGCCCACTGAAGCTGCCCATATTGCTCTCATAATGGAGTTATAAAAATTGTTATGGAAACTAAATTCATAGGGTAATTGGGCGAACGGGTATACCATAAGAATGCAATAAGCCATTGCTGTGAATGCCACAGTCCAGTTAGCTATGATGCGTTTCTAAAATAGAAGAATTAAATACAAGGAGAAAATACTGAACTGAATTTTGATGAAATATAGTTGCCTAGATTAGAATATGTTTAAAAAAGAGAAATTTCCGACAAATTTCTGGAAAAACATACATACATACGAGTACATTCTAATATTTAGCACATGTGGAATCCTCAATATTTCAAAATTTTCTTATTTATATTTAACTTAACCAGAAATATACGATCAATTATAGTTTCCCCAGTGTGTTCTTAATCTTACCTATAGACATGAAAATGGCAATAACGGCGATGTTACAATGCCTCTATTACAAATTATATTAATATTTTAATATAAAAAATCTTAGTCTCAACGAAAAAATGCCGTGGGTTATTCTGGGTTTTTTGCATGGAACATATTTGGTATAAAATGGCATCGACGCTTTGACTTGTGCCATTTTGTTACACTTGCAAAACGTAATAAATGCAATTGATAATAAATGATAATGAAGAATGGTTGTTGTATTCTTGCGGCACATTTGTTGCTGTTCAGTTGAGCGCGCGCTTTCATCGCGATCGCATGTAATTTTGTTAATTTTCGTAATTATATTTATAACAAACTGGGTCTATTTTTCAAATTGGATGAACCCAATGTGTACGTTTTCTTTTTCTTTATTTTTCATTATAATATAACCGCAAAATAATACCATTCCATTTTATACGTTCTATCGAACTAGACTGACGAGTACTCTCGCAACGCGCATTAGCCCTCATCATCTGAACTCTGTTCAAATTTGATCGCGCGTTAACGCGCGTTACATGTGAACATAGCCTTAAATAAATTATTCTGTCGTGTTTCTTTGGTCATATGTTGGTTAACATCATATATATAAACCTTGGAGATCCTGGGGTCCAGTAAATATTGAATATGAAAGATTCTGAGTTAGAAAGTATAACTTACCTTAGAAAATATTATTTGTTTCCCGCGGTGCTTCCAGAGAATGTAGCCAAATATCAAACCAACTATAAAAGGCGATGCTCGCGTTGCAGTATTTACGTAGAACGTTTTATAATAATCGTAAAATTTATCTGAATACCTGTAAAAGAGAAATTTCTTCTATCGTTTTTGGTTGTAAATTGTTGTTTTGGGCAATTACATATGGAAAACTAAACTTTTTATAACGATCTTAATTTACGTATTATATGCATTTTAACGAGATAGTGTTTTTCTTATTTGTCTGGGTTTTTTTACTTAACCACAAATATACGATCAATTTTATGAAAATGGCAATAGCGGCGTTAATACTGTACCTCTATTACAAATTATATTAATATTTTTAATAAATTGTGATCTCTAAAAGAAATTTAATCTTTCAACGAAAAAAATGTTAATAGGTTATACTGGGGTTTTTTTTGTTTATCTTTATGATGGAGGTATAATATATGTATGATGGAGTATAAATATAAGCACTCACCATAGACTGTTTATAATTGAAGGAAATTGATATGTGAAGCAATAATAGGCCATGACAACAATGGACGTCAGAAAAGAGAATGTAAGGGCAAACCAAGCCACGCTCTCAGACCATAAGAGGAAGAAAATGATAATGGGACTGAGGAAGTACAGCTGCATGTCCACTGTCAAGTACCACGATTGAAATACGCACTAGGAATAAAAAAATCATACAGTTAATTAGTGTTATATAATACTCCATTCGGGTTAATAAAAATAGTAGGTCATTAGATTACACCCTGGTAATCACTAACTGTAATATTTAAAAACAGGTTCTCGGTTCAGTTCAGTGTCATTTAAATTCAGTTTTTTTAGTACATAGCTGCGTAGTTAATTAATGCATATAACAAATATCTCGAACGTCTTATATACTTAGCGAAACAATGCCTTCTATAAATAATTAATGCACCAACACCAAAAAAATTATGCAAAAAAACTTATACACCTTGCTTTTCACTTTAACTATACCATAGGTGTAGATTATTTATTTATTACTTATAAATTATCCTTACATATAATGCCAATACGATAATGTCGAGAAAAATAAAAAAAAATAGGATAACGTTTATAATATCGGTCGGTTTTAGAGAAAGGCCTTTCTCGAACCTAATTCGCTGTTTTGCTGATGATTTTTCTTTTTTTTCTGCTTTAAGTGCCAACAAATTTCTATAACTTTATTCTATTTTATTGTGTGCTTGTCTTGTATATATATATATATATATATATCTTGTATATGTTTTAATTGTATTTTTTAATTTCTATTTTTTTTATATGTGATACTTATGTTTACTTTAACTGTCACACGTTTTAGATGTAAGATTTTGTAAAATAATTAGTAGATTTAGTACTGTGTGATGTCGTAAGCTTAATAACTAAATAAATATTAAACACTATATCGCTACTGTGAATTCACTATGCGAACATATAAATATGCCGAAAATAAAAAACAAAATTCTTACCACTCCAACAGGTGATAAATAATTCTGTACATGGAACAACGTTGCCCACCATTTACTTCTACAGGCTTCTGTGCCATACGCAATGCGATCCCAATCTGGACCATCATTTATCCAAAGGAAGAATGATGCTTGTAAAAGTACAGCCACTGCCAGAATGGGTAACGTCCGTAAGTATCGGTATAGGTAAAATATGTGAAGGGTTTTCGTGAAGCGCACTGAAAATTTTTAATTGAGGAAACAAACTGTTGCTCAAAAACAGTTAAAGGAAATATAGCTATATAAAAATAGTTATATTATATACAATAGACAGTGAAAGCTTGAGCTGAGCTTTTTTTTAAATATATATCTGTATATCATACCATTAGGATCATTGTGAAAGCGTTTCAAAACAAGTATTGCAAAGTTCATCATTGAATAAATTATTATTCATTTTTGTTAAATAAACTTGTTAAATGATGCCTTAGTCATTGCATAAATTCTACAAGTTGGGCTAATAGCACCTTGTAAATAAAATACAAAGTTGAAAAAATTAGCACTATTGCCGTAACATGTGCGAAAATCTTGAGCAACGAAACGTTTTATTACGCATGTTCTAAATGAAAACTTTGAGAACTCCACTCGGCACCAACTACTCACTTTAGGGAACTTAAGTTTAAATAACATGTCTATCGGTCGCATATCGGTCTGTATGCCCACTTACCGCCGTTAGGAGCCAGTCAGATTAAACATATATAACAAAACTTACATGGTGTCAGACTTTTAGGTAAAATGTACACGCAAAATAAGCCACTCAACATGAAAAATGTATCCACAACTAGGGGTGCAGCATTAATCCATGTACTTTTAAAATAAGTCGTCCACTGAAATGTTGAAAACAGAATTGAATTTGCATAAAATCGGAATGCTTTTTGCCATCGCCTCAGATTGGATATCGAGGTTAGTGCAGCTTACTTGTAAAGGTATTCTAATGATAAAATTCAAGTTTCTTTCAGACCACTGAATTTTTATATTAGTTTGTGTATAATAGTTTAGATTAGGCTTCAAATGTTGATCTTTAGTTTTTATACTGTTGTAAGTAAAATTGCCTATGTGCATTGGTTAACGCAAGACGTGTATGCCTCAGTGCTCCTGTGTTCGATAACATTTAACGCATTAGTTTTACTATAAAATAGACACCGAATTGTGCTTATTCCTTTAATAGAGTTACGAAGCTTCAAACAACATAGTAAATTGCAAAATAATTCACATTCTTAGTTATAAGAAAGTTACACTCGTGTTTATTGTATTAAAAAATTATACTAAAGTTCACCTTAAAGCTCGTCTTACTAAAGTCTCGAAACTTCGAAACAAAATGTACATTTACAATTTATATATGAATTTGGTCCCGCTTCTTTATAGTAGACTGTTATGAAATGTGGGCTATAAATATTATTAAAAAATACCTCTCTCATATCCATTAAATTGTGGGCTGGAGATAACAACTCAAAGACATATGCATGACCCACAATCACCCATAACATGGATATTGCACGTATACCATCAACACAGTGCATCGCATACTTTGGAGACTTGAAAGTAAGTAATTTTATTGTATTCGTGTATATTGACATGCATGACAATAGCCGATTGGACCGAGCTGCAAAAAGAATTAGAATATTTAACAGAAATTTAGGTTTTGATATTTCAATAGTGTATTACTTTCCTAAATTATTATACTGAGGAGTAAAATAATATTACGTTTCTAAAACTTAAGTTCATGCGTTCAAATTCCGGATGTGTACTAAAGAAATATGTTCACAAAAAATATACCAAAAATCTGATGTCAACATATAGACACCCTAGGAACATTATTATTCACTACATAGCCCATTAATTGTTACACACTAAGTCGATAAATTATACGTTCGATACGTTGTGTCTACAGCGTCAAAGCCTTTTATATATTTCTGGTTTAATCGGTTTACGGATTACTACTTCCTAATCTAGAGTAATGCAAAATTTCATTTAATATTCAAAACAAAATTATAGTAAAGTGCGTAAGTAAGAGACAATAATTTGAATAATTCAAAGTGCCAATTATATACTTACATTTTTTCCTTATAAATACTTGAAATAGATCGTAACAAGTACTGAGAATCGTTAAGAGAACTACAGTCCCAAACACTCCGCTGAAACATGAAATGCAGCTGCTTTAATCAAGATAAAATATTGAAATACTTTGAGAACAAAAATGTATCTATTTACATTGTTAAATTGGATTAAATGTAAAATCTTTTAACAACTTGTGATGAAATTCTCTAAAATTTAAATTTGTTTAACCAGTGTCAGATGTACTAAAACCTTTTCACATTACACTTCTTTTTTATGTATATAACAGTTCCTTACAACAACCTAGGTATATAGTATTGAAATATACTTACAACGCAATATAATCAGCTGTACTTAACATTTTATCACCAGGCAATCGACAAACGGTTTCCCGGAACTCAACTTGTGGTAGCGGAATGGGAGGAGTGATAAAGTCCGCAACCTGATCGACAGTACAAACTTTTGGAATACATACAGCCAGCTTTAATGACATCATATTCGTTGTTTGATAACTATCCGTGAATGATCTGCAAAATTGTATCAAATATTATATATTAGGTAGTCTAATAGAGTAAAAATTTTGAAAATTTGGATTGGAACTAAAGACAATAACTTTTTAACAGGTTTTTAAATTCAAACGTATATTTTACTTTTGTAATTTTAAGTATATAAATTAATTATCCTAGTGGGGGAATCCTATAATCCTTATTCGGGAAAACTGATTTTATTATATGTGTATTCACAGTTCTTCATTATTTTTACGGGCATATTATTAAATATATACCTGAAGTGGTGCTAAAGGCTTATTTAAGAGGTCGTAGGGTATTGAAAACATTTGAAAGAGGAAAATAGACGCTCTGAAAATATGGTTTAGAGGTGGATGCTTAGGTTCCATACTAAGACGGTTACAGGTAAAAACTCGTCTTTCGACACTTTGTTCCCACCAACGGAACCTATGTTTCTGTTTGTGTTTGGATTTGTAACACGTAGAGGTCCAGAAAATTTAGAACACCTTATGACTGGCATAGTGGAGGGTACTAGACCTCGACCTCGTCAATCAACACGACCAAAGAAATGAAGAGCGCGACAGAAGGGGATAGAAAAGACCTTTTTAGATTTCGTTTGGTCTAATGGATATGTAAAAATATTGTAGGGTCCAATTAAAAGGACATCAGTAACTCTAATTGAACTGAATGTATCAGAACTTACGTAATTTCAGGAGCATCTCTCAAATTATTGACAAACTTTTCGGCTTTAACGAGTCCATCAATTGCGCTAGGTCCGGTAAAAGACCTGGCCATCTTAGACACAGTGTACCAAGTCGGCATGGTTATAGTCTGCGAGAATGGTATTCTGATGAAGCAGTATTTGCCTTCCAGGTGTATATCATCTCTGGCCTTATTTATGTCGAGACATTCGTAGTAATCACCATAATCGTTGATGTTCATGGTCAATATTCCACTGGGCAGTTTGGCACTCGCATCGATAACTGTGGAATAAAAATCACCCTGCACTATTCACTCCGTACCAGAATCATTTCATGAAAAACTGGCAAACAAAAATATCAAATATATTCTTAAAAACTACTACATATTCTTTTTATGTTATATTTACCCATTTGTATGAACAGAAAGTCAACTTTAAAGACACCCTGTACCTCGACACTTGGCACGGGCGTCAACAACAGGTTTCTACTGACGTACTCTAAGATTGTAAACGAATGCCTTGTTTGTATCTAAAATTTCTTATTTTGTTTAATATAGCGAAATTAGTAATTAATTCAAATAATAATATTTGTTTTTAAGTATTATAATAGTATTGTAATGAACGTCGAGGCTTCAGTTTTTTATTATAATTAAAAAATTAAGTTGTATTTTTAACTTAGCAGATTGATTGCGGTGTGCAAGACGAGAATATTATCAATTCAAGATGCAATTTCTTTGTGTTTATTCAAGAATAGGTCCTCCATCCGTGAACCGATCAACTTCCAAGAAATCAGACTAATAGTATCTCCATATTCCTAGTAATGTAAACTAATAATAGTAAATGAAATGTAGCGTGTAATATCTAAATTAATTATACTTAAATATATTTAATACTCTTGGTGATATAAGACTAATCAATAGAAATAAAAACGACTCCAAAATGCTCTAAAATTACTTTTCGGACCATTTTAGTCGTTCATAACTTTTTAAGGAATTTATTCCCTATACGCCTCAGGGCCATTACTCTGTAACTTCCAATAAGATCCCGATTCTAATAATGAGCTTTTGTTCCGCGCGATCCCAAGGTTGCGACATCACCACTGCGGATATTGAGAGAACTTTAGACAAAAATGTCGGGATCGGTATCGCTGTCGCTATTGGAAGTTACAGAGAACGGGTACTGCCTTGCAATTCTGTTTCACAGCGGCGGTCGCGCTCAAATCAGTCGTACAGCAGTCATTTTACGATTTGGCATTTTGATAACAAATAAACTACAAGCTCCCTCCTTATCAGAATGCCGCCGACCGCCGCTGCGAAAACCGCTGTGAGAGTTCCAAAAGTGAGTTACAGAATCGCAAGGCTGTTCAATACTTATGAAATCCTTGTAATACTTACATGGGAGTGCCAAAGAGCTATTAGACAGATATTTCAATTGCCTCTCGCATTCTGTATAATTCAGTACACGTTTATACAACTCCTGGTCAAAAGACTTCCGCGGATCCGCTAACAATCGAAATGTCATGACACCGTTGTAACCTAATCATAAAAAAATATACAAAATATAAGGCCAATAAATAAAGTCAAGTAAAACTTGAGTTGACGCTCACTGACGCATCCTTTACATACGGTTGTATATTTCTACGTAAGCTTTATTCAATATTTGCTTTATATGAGAATAAAAAGATATAAATTATCTAAAGCTTAGGTAAAATTACTTTAGTACGTATAACGTGGTCAGTGAGACTCGCTCCCTTAATCTCCGTTAAACAATAAACTGGTTAAAATTATTCTGGATTCTGATATTTAAAGGGAACAGTTACTAATGTAATACAACAATGTAATACTATTATTATTTACTCCAATTACCATGCAATAAAATAAATATCAATTATTACCTCTACTCGTAGTGAATGCTTCATTTAAAATAATTTAAAATTAATGTCTCTCAATTATTCAATTTTAATTGTTCACGAAGTATTTTATTATTTTATCGTCACGATGAATTTTGTAAGTAGGCTTTGGTTGTCGTTTATTTGATAACAGTGAAAATGATATTTTAGCAATCTCCTTATTTCAATAGCTCCGGGAAATCTGAAACTCAACTCATACCAGCCCTGCGATTCTGTAACTCACTTTTCGAACTCACACAGCGGTTTTCGCATCGGCGGTCGCTCTCAAATCAGTCGTGAAGCAGTCATTTTATGATTTGGCATTCTGATAAACAATAAACTACAAGCTCCCACCTTTTCAGAATGCCAAATCATAAAATGACTGCTTCACGACTGATTTGAGAGCGACCGCCGATGCGAAAACCTCTGTGTGAGTTTGAAAAGTGAGTTACAGAATCGCAGGGCAGGAATTCTCTTTGCTGCTCAGATAGCAGAAAATCCACTCACACTCCTCGAGTGCATTCTGCGCTAGCGCATTAGAATACTACCAGAGTCGCTTTCGCATTCCTCGTCTGTTGGGATCTCGTTAGATGCATAATTATTAGCTTCATTTACACCCGAGAGGCGTCATAGTCAATAGTTATACTTTAAAATATATGTCGGATTGAAGGCTTTGGTGTCAGCTTCTATTGTCATTATATGTCACAGAGCTCCTAAATTAACAACGTCAAAGTCTAATCAGTTTATGACCATTAATATTTTGTGGTTTATTCGATTTGCCAATATTACTAAATCTACCAATTAACGACTATTTGATAGTCTATATAATGTTGAAAGGTTTATAAATTATCGACTTTTCAATAATCGATAATAATAGTGGCTTAATGTCAGTCATTGTTATTTCAAGTAATTTATCATAACTTTAATCCTTTGAAACTTAAAGACAACCAATTTTTGACCCTCGTACCTATGACTGTTTGACACTGTAGTCGATTCGGGTTCGGTCGTGTAAAGAGGACACGTGAGACTCTATTACGATAATGATAACCCTTGGAAATGTTTTAATATCTTACATAATATTTTCTTATTTTCCCTAATAAATTTGATAAGATAAGAAAAGTTAAAAGATATATAAAGTATGTAAAATAAGAATTTGATGTTTTACTGATTGTAGTTTTCTTGAAACGCCGTACGTCACCCCTTTCACCCATATTTGGTCTTTGTTACGTTTGTATTTGACATGTCAAAGCATAGCCCTTGCCTCGTTTTGATTTGTATTTAATTGTGTATTTACATGGTTCAACGCAGAACAAAGGATGTTTGTTACATGAATGATCTATGTCCTTGGAACTTAATATCAAAGGGAAAATTTCAATCTATAAATACTAGTGTTTTTCTAAGAAAACATTTCAATGGCCTAAGTTAAAACGGTCTCACGGAATACTGCCGTGCCTTGAATTAAGTTTAGTTCGTATTGCACCTGAGCCCTTGTTCTGTAACTTCTAACGACAGCGATTCCGATCTCAATAATGACTTTTTGTACGGCGCAATCACAAGGTTGCGACATCAGCGGTACGAAAACTGGGAGAACTAGATCAAACTTGCATAAACAGACGTCGGGTTCGATGTATCTATAGGCATAGACGTCCCTATATATTGTGTTTTTGCGCACATACTTGTACACCTCCGAGTTTTAATATTATATTGAATACTTATCGCCGATTTTTCCTGTAATCTATGTTGAGACTAACCATTTACGCATGTATGTATATCGAGCCTATATGACGGATAGCCCTTGAAAACCTTCGTCTATTCATAAATGTAATAACAGATAACTACATAGTTTAATAGAATATAAAACCTATATACCACAACCAACAGAATCAAGACCGAAAACGCTTTTATATATACATATTTCCCAACGCCCACACATTCTCCAAAATAGAACATTAGATCTCAATATTCGATGATAACGCCTATCAAATTCAAAACAAGCGTCAAGTGGGCACTAGAATGAAAATTAGATTTAGAGGCACACTGGGAAGTTTTCAATTTCAAAATATCTGTATTTTGCGTTCTGGCAATGTGAGTGTCCATGGGCAGTATCACTTAACATCAGGTCAGCCCTTTTGCCTTCTATTACTTATTTCCTATCAGGGTAACAGAATAAAAAATATTATGCATAAATGATAGAATAAACTGCACCAAAATAATTTAATTTATTTTAATTACTTATCTGTCTTACAACACAGTGTAGATGCAACTGAACAGAAAAAGACGAAAGGTACTTAAGTTTAAATTATAATTTTATGAATAAGGGGGTATAATTCAAACTTCTGTAACAGGTTCAACTCAAGTAAAACCAATTTGGAAATAATGTGCACGTTGTTATGTTAAAATATCTGTGGATATTTTATATACGATGTTCATAGTTATATGTTGTCAGTCAAAGAAATACAAACATTTCCAAAAATTATTGTATTTCCTATGACGCGTTAGTCGTTACTCATACTCACTCATTCCGCTAGCTCTGCGGCCCAAAAAGTCTCCGAAATGATAATCTTCCACCACCCGTTAATTGCTGGCTTTCAGCTGCAGCAGGTCCTCCACTCTGTCGATCCAGCGGTAACTGGTCCTCGACCACTAGGCCGGCTCAAGTAATTCCTTCACCGCCTAAATTTGGCCCATGCCCTCATTGTGCTCCACGTAGTCGATGGGCCTTATATTCGCCTATAATGTTGGGCTGGGCTACCAACCCTTCTATTTCGGCATTTTATCGGACTCTCCATGACCCGTCTTCTGTTCCTCTTTCACGGTAGGAGAATATCTTCCGATTGTTGTGAGGTAATTGAATGGCATTTTCTACACGAAAAGCTGAATTATTGAAAGTTGTTATAACTCTCATATAGCACTAAAGAAGGCTGAATAAATAAAAATAAAAAAAATATAACATTCGGTGTGTCTTCAACTTAAGTAAACAAAGCGATCATATATCCGAAGCTTCCAATACTGGCACGATAAATTTACTTGACAAGAACATCTGTATACAACATTATAATATTGATTTTTGTCTGCTTTGATTGTATATATAATGTAATCATGGCCTAATTATCTTATTAATTTTTGTTATTCTTTCGACTAAGTACATACTTTGCCCTTAGCATACAATTATACTTTATTTGCTTCATAGCATGATCACAAAGCGGCCATTTAACGTGTTAAATTATAATTTGAAAATTTGCTTTATTATAGAAGTATTAACTGAGGATAGTTCTTATATCGAATTATTTCAGTCGTGTGTGGCTAAGTTCATTGTTTAAATAAAACATGAAAGACCCAGAAGTTAGCAGTTATCGTCAACCTATTTCCCTAATGGCAAAATCGATAACTCAATCGGATGTAAATCTCAGCACACTAGACTGGCTCACTAGTTTGAATTAAATATATTAAATGATATATTTAATTCAAACGACTGTGTTATTGTAAAGTGGGAACAAACCGTGATCCATGTGGTATCAAATTATTTCAGTATTATTATTATTTTCTTATGTAGCCAAGTCCACATTTCAAGGATCGTCATGCTCGCTTAAATGTCATTGCTTGTGGCGGCGTCCATGCGTCGGGTTGTCTCTCTCCCTAAAATATGGCGAGGGGGCCGATGGCTGGCCATGCGTCATACTCGTGAACGGGTGCTACTTGTGGTGACTGGTCGTACTTGTTGCGTGCTTGTATGCGGTGATGTTAATTTTTCGACTATGTGTTTGCGTGTTGTTCCCACGAGAATGTAAGTGCGTGCTCCTATTTCACCATGCCTCCTGCTGATAGAGGACAAGTCTTTGTTTTTAATTTATGTTATTATTATTAATTACTTAAGATGTCATGTGGAACATGGTGTAATGGTTGCAGCTCCTTACAAACGTTGTGTAAAAAAAACATGGCGATTAAAAAGAGTGGCGGAGAGTTTATTGCCAGTTCTTCTCTTCCGTTCTACACCCTTGATTTGAGAACTGGCAGTAAATGTAAAATTAGAAGCATTAATATGTATTTCTTTAATGACGAATCACAAGTGTACATTGTGTTACCTACGTGAATAAATGATTTTTGAATTTGAATTTGAATAGCGAATTGGTCCCCTCCATATTATTACTTTGATAAATTTTAAAGTATTGTAATTTTTATGCGATCGAGGTTCGAGACGAGGAACGAGGGCTTGGTTTCGAGTTAAGACCTATGTCTGTCTCGCTTAAGTAGAAGTATTAAGGTATTGTTTGTTAAAACGCATAGATTAGAATAATTTATTCTGTACTGTCGTAACTTTGAGAAATCGATTTCAACTTAATTGAGTTTGGCGTAAAGCTATAAATTTAAGATATGCATAGCTCGGTCAAACCCGATTCGAATCTTGTTAGATGATGTCGACGGATAAGCATCAGTATACAAGAGATATTATTGCGCCAATTTCATTTTCACAAAATTTACGTTTACTTTATAATCTCACATGGCGTGACTCGGAATATTTTTCCATCTGGTGAGATGCCACAAACGTCTACATTGATTTAACAAAATAAGGTAGATAAGAATGTAAAAAACATATATAAGTACACACTTACAGAGACGCAAATCGTGCGATCGA